TTTTTTTTGTTGCTTTATCGAGCATCGCGTTTACCGTCAGACCACCAATTACGACTATCTTTCATTTCTCCTTCGTTCTCCTCCATCGCGAAAAGAAGACGAACGCTGACGTCGACTGACTCGCTCATTTGCCAATTTCTTTAACTCTTTACCCTCGACAAACCTCTTTCGTATCATCTACCAGCAATTTATTTACGAAGCATCAAATAAGTTGATACAGCGATTGGAAATAATCATTCGAATGGTATCTAACACGAAATTTTGCTGATCATAACTTTCTAACGTGTGATCGTCAACGTGCATTGCGGGTTTGTTAGAACAAGCATAATACACTAGAGTTAATGACACATGGTTTCAATCTTTAGAAAAATAGCATCCACCATTTTTTAAACTTTCGTAAGAAGCAATAAGAAGCCTAGTTTATGTGAATTGTTGAGTCAGTCAATTATCTTCTAAAATTCTTTTACTCTTCTTACGTGGTATTATATACTTTCACTGTCTGTTCAGATATTATACTGTTGTACATCAGATGTATACGTTCGTTATAATTATCGACAAGCAAATTATAAAAAGAGAAAGTTCTGTTGACTAGATTCAAGTACAATGTCCCCTCAGAAGGGATAGTCGAGTGCAAAGGATTAAATTCCACGGAAATCATAGGTTCCAGAGACAAGTGACAGTGACGAGGAGGTACAAAAAAAATATTAAATTAAATTTACAAATGAAAGTCATCGCATTGATCGCAATTACAGTTGCAATATCATACAATTTAATCGACACGCCTTTCTGAGGAGGATATTATCCTTACACTTCGAAGATCGAAAGGTGAATGAAACTTACGTCGCAATTTTATGGGAAACACGTGGGGCTCCTTTGTACCTTGCCTGTGTCATTCAAACTGCTTCTCCGATATCGCGCGAAACGACTTTCCCACAAAGAAAGATAAACAACCGCTCGAAACGAGACGCACGACACTTCTGCGCTCGACTTTACACGGCGAATTAACGTGAGCGGAATCTTTAATTCCGCGCAACTCGGAATTTTATTTTATACCTTCCGCTCGGCTCGCGACACGACAGCACACTAAACGTCGACTCGGTTTTACGCAGCGAAGTCTCGTGTTCGTTTGTCGCGCGGTTTTTGTCCTAGCTCGTGCAAAATTTCCGAGCAAGAAAGGGCAAAAACTGTGTGTACAACATTGAAGAGCTCTCGTCGATGGCGTGGTAAGAACGCAAGGTTGAACGACATTACGTACATACTAACAAGAGATCAGCTATTTCGTACAACGTTCGGAACTGGCAGTAACAAGTAAAATGAAATAATTTGAATTTTTTCAGGATTTTAATACCTTTCGTCTGAATTCGTCACTTCATTGTGCAATATGCACCCACGAGACGAATAATTTATTGGATATGAATATTAAATTACAGAATCATTGGATCTTACAAATTGTAAGATCACTGAGTACGAATTTAAATCGTGAAATAATTATAAAATAATTTACTGATCAATTAAATTTTAAGTATAATCTTCTTCAACTTGATCGGTTTAATTTGCGAGCAATTACTGAGTAATTTAGCTGAAATTTAGCTGAAGTTTAAGAAAATATTCGTAACATCGTTGCTTCGATGAAACATTAATTGTTCTGAATTTTCTTCGTTCGCCCCAATGAAACACGACTGAATGCAATTCTGTAAAACTAATTGCTTTTTTTTTCTTTTTAACGTGATTTTAACGAAACTAAATCGCGAGATCTTGTCCGTCAATCACAACTCAGGTTTCAAGCAAATACCAGTTGCAAAATAAATCATTTTCGAAATGAAGGAACACAACGACAAACTATTCATCAATTTTCCAAATCGAACAAAACACAAGAATTCCAAGGGCGTAAAAATCCTATCCATCTCTCCTTCACCGACGAAGAGGCGAGCGTTCATTTCAACGTTTCCGCAGGAAATGAACTCGCCATTTGACAAGAATCCGCTCTTCTTCCGAGGATAGAAAAGAATGCTTACTGAAAGAAAGTTGAAGAGCGAAAACTAAAAGTTCCCTCGCTAATTCCTCGAGAATTCCCCTAACAATGTAACAATGACCGGCAACGACCGGCAACAACTCAACGAAACAAACAAACAACGGGAGAAACGGTGAGACACCGTGGCTCTAATTTACGACACTGGTTGCAGGAACTTCGAGTACGAGGCCGGGGATTACAGTCGGCGAGTGCGTTTCGTGATGGCACACGACCCGAACCAGTTGGTCCTCCACGTAGCCGGCTACGGCGAGCTGAACATTAAGCCGGAGACCGGAAGCGGAGGGTTGTTGGGCAGCTCGAGCAGTCTGGCACCTCCTGGAGGATCACCGGGCCTCATGAGAAGCAAGAGCGACCACCGTCTGGCATCGCAGTACCGACAGCAGGAGGAAGAGCGACTGGCGAGAAATCGATACGTGCCCGAATACGAGTAATTATCCCCTCTACAATTTTTCTTTTTTTCTTTTTTTCTTTTTTTTCGACGTTTATTTATTGTTCGAGCCATTCTCTCCCCGTCGCGACTAAAAAAGTTTCGACTATCCGCTGCTAGAGGATTCCTCGCGATACATCCTCTTTGCATAATGGCGCTCGATGTTTCCAAGAAGAAAAATGTCGGCGGGGGTTCTCTCTCGAGTCGGAGAACACACTTCGGAGATAAAAGGGGGCCAATTCTCTTTTCTAAACGTTGTTAATCTCACATCTTTGAACTATTATAGTGGCCTATCCCCTTGAGAATAAACGTACGTACGTACATACGTGTTGCATATGCATCGAGCTGAACAACGTAGAACGTTGGAGTTGGATGAATCTACTGTTTATGAAGTAGTCGAGGGTAAATACTGCGTAGCAACCGAGAGAGAATCGTTTATTTCGTCAAGAAACGCGGTGAGGAAATGCGTAGCGCTGACTGCTTTGGTGCGACGACTAGTTTCGAATGTTTCCGCAGGGGAACAATGCGGCAACACGGTGTAGAGGTAGCTGGTATCTTTGAACCAGGGAAACTGGGTTTCTCAGTCGCAGGGTGAAAGGAAGGGAGGGAGTATCACTCGGTGAAAATGAAGACGGCTGTAGAGAAAAGAGGCATCTCGTTGGCTATAGCTGGCTGACCGGTAAAAACGTGTTTGACCGTGGACCGTAGATTACTTTGGAATATTGCCAAACGGGATCCGTGGTGGGCATACATTTTTCACGATGTCCCACATATCTATTCTAGCAAATGTTATAAATACGTACGAGGCTCCACTGGCTGTATCTTTTCCCCGGCGTGGGCCGGGAACAACTTCCTCGAGGCCGAAATAGGCATGGTCCAGTTTAATTACCGACCATTTCGTGTAATACGCGCGCCGTCCGGTCCCGTTTCACTGAACCGCCTCGTCAAAATGCAAATCCCAGAGAGGCCAACCTTCTTGACACACACGCAACATTCCCCGACCGCGAGAACGTTCGAACTTACTTGGAATCTTTCACGAATTATGCTATGCGGCTATGCGGAACATCCTGAAATTTTACTGTCAGCACAACAGTGTGCGTAGGTGTGTGTGTGTGTGTGTGTATGTGCGTGTGCGTGCGAAACTCGGTTTATGGAGAATTTAAACATGCAGAAATATGCAAACATGTACGAAATATTCAAAGTAAATTCCTCTGAATCGAATCGCGCAGCCAATGTCTAGTCGGAAAATACTTGGTGCGAAAATTATATTTCGGAGGAATTGCGAAATTATTTAAACAGCCGATTATCCACAATGTTGACGAGCTAAAACCGAAGAATCTACCCTTGATATTTGTTATATATATATATATATTCGGTGCAAGCATATATTTCCTAGAAATCACAAAACTACTTGAACTGATCGTTTATTTATAGTACCAGTAAGTTTCGATATTCAATGAGATCATCTTTATTCATTTATTCGATTGAGACAGTATACTTCGTAGTTGCAATGAAATATGGAATGTAATTTCTAAGAAGATTTAAGGACAGACATTTCACATCTATATAAATGAAATTTGTCGCTACGCGTACGTATTTTCAGATCAGTTTCAAACTTTTGCCAATAACAATCCGGGCGTTGTTGTCCTGTTAGTAAAATTTCGAAACGCGTTTCACCCGTTTAATATACACGTACGAAAGTTTTCCAAGTGTTGAGTACGAACAAGAGTGTACAATGCATCTTGCGACAGTAATTAACAGAAACGCACGAGCTACGAACGCTCCAGTAGTTCGTGTCCTCGATTTCCGACTGCAAGAAGCTGCAATTAACGACGTTCCCGTTGCATGACTATTGTCGCTAATTCGGGAGTTTTCTGACTGATGATCAAGGGTAATTATATGAAACCGTGGCACGCGAACTCGTCGACGGCGTTCCGTGCACCGAAATTTCGTTCCGGCTAACTATTCGGCTTTTATTACGTTTTGCCAGCGTAAAACTCGCCGCTGTCAGACTGAGCCGGGTAACGACTAAATTTCATTTTACACGATCTCGAAAGCATCAGGATCGAGATTTCCCGGCCGAGAAATTCGGACAACGCTCTAGCTGAATATTTGCTAGTCGAAACTCTGAAACCAATCTCACCGAATTGAATAAAAATCGAAAATTTCGAGAGTCAAATTCCCCATCCATGTCTCGGACTACAGCGTACGAACGAGGTCGATCTTCCTTCCTGATTCTCTCTCTCTCTCTTTCTCTCTCTCACTGTACCAAGCGATCCGCACGTCTGCAGGGCGATAATTAAGCAACACTCGGATAAACCCGACGAATCTATTACTGAGCGCGCCGCCTTGAAACACGCGGATAACCCAGTTCCAGAAAATCGTGCGCCAAAGGAGGTGGAAACGTTTTCAATTCGGGTCTCGAAGCTCGTTCTGGAAGAAACGATGATCGTTAGCACGGGAATGTCGTTGTTCCTTCGACGAACGCAACGAGAGAAATCTCCTCGCACTCGTCTAAATCTGAATTCACAAATTTTTCTATCCGTTACTTGCGTGACTATGATACATCTCACTCGAGATTGCAAAGACAGACGATAGCTCATCGTGATGCAGAAGAGTTTCGTTGTCAGGTTACCTGATTGAAGTGGAATTGTTAGTGATAAGGGGGAGCGTCTGCATCGTCTTCCACGCGTAAAATTAATTTCGGATATTACAACTCGCATTCATTTCGCACATTGTGAACAACTAGTATCTTTCAGTATTTGGAGAAGTTACTCTTCAGTCACGTCAGATCGTTAACGAAAAAGTTTGGAAAAACAGTGAATATAGTTAATTACAATTGAAATTCTGTTCTATGAAATTTACTGTTCGAAAGATTTTAGGACAAAAATCGTCCTCCTCTGGAACTTTCTAAACTTGATATGTTTACAAAAACCCGTGACGCTCCACTGTCTTGTTTCTAATTTAGAAAATTAATTCTAGACATTAGAGTTCTTGTCTGAAAAGTTCTTGAGTACCGTCCAACTGAATCTTCAGAATCTGATATCCGAAGGTGCCATTATAAATATCCTCCGATCATCCTGTCTCCAATTTGCGAAATTAACACTCTGGACGTCATAATTATTTTCTAAAGTTATCTATCCAAAGTCCTCTTCCACTTCTGTTCTGGTGGAACATCGTGATTCCCAATAATATCCCATCTACGTTGTTCAAATCACGTCAAATCATCTAACTAAAATTTCTAACATCATCCGATCTTTCAAAGATCTCTCGAATCCGTCGCAAACATACGCAAGCCTTTGAATCCGACAATTTCGCCAATGTCGGAGAAGAAATACCTAATGGAACGATTTGTTTCGAACAGGTACGACGCGCCAGAGTACGAAGTGCCGAGGAACAAATCGAGGTACAGAAGCCGATTCATGCGGCACCGGGACGGGGACGACTCGGACGGCGACTCGAGGTCGACCGTGCGATTCACGTCGACACCGCAGGAGACCTCGGGGCTTCGTGAACGTGTTCTGGACACAGAAGACGCGGCACGCGGACCGCTCTCCGGGATTTTTCGGCTGACGGACTCGCCGCGCGTCATGAAGAAGCTTCAAGAGTACGAGAGGGCCGGGAAAAGGAAGAAGGAGGAACCGGCGTCGCATCCAGCTCAACAACCTCAACCACCGAAACCTCAGGTTAATGAATAGCACTTTCATCCCTTTATCTCGACGCCGCGAAACGTCCACCTCGGCAGAGAAAAATAGAAAAGAAAAAGAAACAGTCGACAGAACGTTGTCTCGAGATCTCGATTTTTATTTCGTTCACGGAATCTCTTTGGCTGACAGTGAGGAGCGAAGAGCGAATGAAACGAGAATTGGGAAAAGGGTTAAACACGAAGAACAGAGAGTCTTATATTTAATAATGAGAGTAAAGAATTAATTAACAGAGGCTACGACGAAACAACCAGATTGGCTAAAGCTGTTATCGATCATCGTACCGTTGGTCAACTGAATCTGTATTGTAATACAGAATTTTGGTAATCGGATCGGAGAATATCCAACCGAGTATCCAACCGTGCTTGCGTTTTCCTTTTTTCTCTTTTACCGGCTCGGGTCGACGCAATTTGCATTTTTTCAATTGCAAAACTGTAGTTACAACGCGTCGCACGCAACAGTTTCGTTTTGCGAAATTTAATCGGGGGGGGAAAAAAAAAGAGCGAACCGTTTATCCGACGTCATCGAGTTTGTGCTGAATTTCAACTGTGGTTATCGATTTCCTGGTGGCGACCGCCACCTCGCGAAACATCCTCGTAGATTCCTCTGTCGAAAGGAAAACGAGAACAGTGAAACTATCGGGTTTACAACGATACCATCGAACGTCGCGTGTAATCCAGTCACTTTTTAGGCTGATTAGCCAGTTCGTGTCCGAATTTCGTATTCTCCTGGACAATTCAGAAATGAAACGGTCGAATTGATTGATCTTCGTCACTACCTTCGTCCACTTCACGCGGCCATTTATTTCGTTTCGACAGTGACTTTCCGCAGCAGAGAGTTTCCGCACAGATTCACTGCCTCGTTACGGCAAGGGGAGGAACAGATGATCGCGAGGGGCGGCTCAATGGCCCGAGCTGAACGAAAAGTAGCTCGGAATCTCTCGCGTTATATCACGTTGGATGAGATTCAACGGGAACTAAATTTTTGATCGTTCGGCCTGTACGTGCGCACCGACCGATACGGATACAGGGATGAAAACGTCTATCGCCTTCCTCCGCCTCCTCCTTCTCCTCTCCTTTTCCACGAGGGGACACGAAAAGGGAATAAATCTGGGCGAAATTTAAAAATAATTCGTCACTTCGCAAACGGTGAACACAGAAGCGTGCCGCAATATGAAATGTGTGTTACTTTGATCTCGACTCATAAATATGTAAATAGCCCGAGACACCTCCCCCAAGTGAATGAAATTAGTTTGTAGATATAGCCGTTGTATATTTTTGTACGAAATATTCTATTATAATACGAATGGAACGTACGAATACACGAATATATATTTTGCTCATCAAGGAAGTAATTAATCTGTCTATGTCTCTCTCTCTCTCTCTCTCTCTCTCTCTCTCTCTCTCTCTCTCGCGTACACTTGCGACAAATCCTATCTCTGTGTCTCCCGCTATCGCACGTCTGCTCGCTCGCTGGCCAGCATTTTAAAATCAACGCTAGCATTTCAATGCGCGTCCCAGCGCGCATGTTACCGCATACACATACGCGCCGATGCACACGCCGTCAGCATAAAAGTATCTCGACTCGCTAACCAACTAATCACCAATGAATAATTTATCCTCACGCACGCTTCACATAGAAGGAAGGAAAAGGGGAGGGGGAGGGAGGGGAAGAAAGGAGGAAAAATAATGGAATATTTAAAGAGATTCGAGGAAAACACGATCCCGAAGATTCAACGACGAGATTTTTCATTCCCTCCCCCTTTCCCCGCCGTACCGGTTAAATATATTCTTTCTGTCGCGTGCAGGTGCAAGTGAGAAAAGTGCCGACAGCAATGGCGAGGCAAACCAGCGAGGACGACGAGATTTCTAGGATTAAAAAGCAGAACAAAACGGCGGCCGCACCTGCGACCGAAACGGTGGAGGAACGACAACCGGCACCGACACCTGCACCTGCTCATCCACCCCCGAGGGAGGCGCCCGCCGAACGAGAACCGGAAGAACCTACGCGAAGACCGATGCCCGCCAGGTACGCTCTGATAATTACACACTTGCCGAGTTTGTTAGTCGTCAAATCGTCAATCTCTAATCGATCGGATATTCTCGTGAATATTGTGCATGCTTGTGTCACTGTTACAAGCGTTGCAACAACTGCCTACGTTGTTGGATAATTTTCTAACTTTAGCGAGGCAATCTCCGAGACTTTCCCCTTTATCGTAGATATCACGTTACACATTAAACAAATTGATCTGACACGTAGATTCCTTTTATTAATCGTTGCGTGTGCAAACGTTCGAGTACTTTCGTTAGCTACTGCATTTCCATAGAATTATTCACTTACTAATCGACGCGTCTCCTTGATTTATTAATACGCGATTTATTAATACGATAAATTCGCTAAGACGACGCAGTTGCCTGTGACTGGTAGCAAAATATATAATCCGATCAAATTCCATCGCAACATTAAGTCACAAGCATCTCGGTGCGCGTTTCAGTAGTAGTGGCGCGTATCTAGTCAGACAGGCTGATTTATGCCCGCTCGGTAAACAGCGATCGGTTCCACGGAATGTCCCAAGTTCTGCGAGCGGTTTCACCCGAGTCACAGAATGTAGTGTCACGGTATAATTGTTGAATTGATAGTATCACGTTTTGTTCTGTGTTATACCGTATGAAAGAAACCATATGAATTAACGTCCATCTTCAAGTGGATCAAAATTAAGTCTGTTCTTTCTCTCCGTGTACTCTCAAATGCTACTTTGTTGAATAATTAATAATAGTATTGGCAAATGTGTCGGTTGAAATTTAAATGCCACCTTCAACCGTGTTATTTCGCCTCTGTATTAACAGCAATTCCAAGTACTTCGAACAATTCCGCAACTATTGCCCCCTGTTGATCATTTATCCAGAAGTCTGCACCGCGATTTCGCGGTACGATCGTGTAGCGTTCCACGTACGGCCATAAAATGGATGAATTGTAGGCGAAATAATTGCAAGGGCGCAACGGGACGAGAAGGGGGTGGTTGGGCGGGTGGAGGCGGCGCGATGTAAACTAATATCATCGGTAGAAATTACGGGCATACGAATGCACCTCGGCTGCTCTGCTCTGGAGTTTACCGACTCGAGGAAGTCGTTAATTGAAATATCGTTGCTCGTAGGAGAACTTCGACGGATACCCACACTCCTGCGACGAGAAGCGCTTCATCAGACTCGAGCACCGGCTCGGAGAGCTCGGGAGGATCGGGAATCCGCAGCACCGGCGCGCCATTCACCGCCGAGGAAATGAAGCAGAAATACTTGTCGAGGGCACCGGCGTCGAACGCAACATCCACCGTCTCGTCGCCGCACAGCGGCACGCCACCAACCCCCAAGGACACAAACGCCAACGCCAATGCCAACGCTAACGCCAACACCGCTCCCTCGTCGCGGTCCTTCCAGAGCCGTTTTTTAGGCACAGGTGAGCGCCTGTTTCGACGTGAGATGTATCATTCGCTTACAATTGGCTCTTGGTGTCGATAATGTTTGATCATCTAGCTTCTAACACGATAAATCAAATTTCCTTTCTTTCTTTTCATTTGTGATTGAACACGTGATTTTAGAATTCCTTCAACACATTCAAATATATGCATTAAACATGTTCAAACGTATTCAAATACAATGTAACTGTACAGGTGGCTCTTGGTGTCGATACTGTTTGATCATCTAGCTTCTAGCACGATAAATCAAATTTCCTTTCTTTCCTTTCATTTAAGTGATTTTAGAATTCCTTCAACACATTCAAATATATGCATTAAACATGTTCAAACGTATTCAAATACAATGTAACTGTACAGGTGGCTCTTGGTGTCGATACTGTTTGATCATCTAGCTTCTAGCACGATAAATCAAATTTCCTTTCTTTCCGTTCAAGTGATTTTAGAATTCCTTCAACATATTCAAATATATGCATTAAACATGTATTCAAACGTATTCAAATATAATGTAATTGTACGTTACACGCGAGAAGATAAAACGACACACATTTGAATATAATACTTGGTAATATCAAACGTGCAAGAAATCATTTTTATAAATGTAACGGTTACAATTTTATGGGAGATGGTATTTATTAAAAGGGAGAATATAAGATAAACGGAAATAGTTAATGAGAAAATTCCCCCGCGAAATGTATTTCCGTCTATCCGCGTTTGCTGTGATATTCACGATGCATTTGGAACATTTAAGAACGAAAATATTCGCAGAATGCGCGCAACATGCAAAGTAAAGTGCTCGTTACAGGATTTAGCAGACGAAACAAAATTTTCTCTAAGATCGTGTCCACGAAAATGCAAAATTACAACCACGACCAAAAAGAGAAAAGGACGTTCGCAAATTACGTTCAGTAATTCATAATTATATATATTATATAATAATATTATTATATTTATATAATTATAATTAATACATATTCATACTTATAAGTAGTATTTTTTATTTAAAAAGTAAATAAAAGTACTACTTATTATAAGTATGTAATAACATATGTATTAATAACATATAAATAATATATAATTTTATTATATAATAAATAACAATATTCTAAAAATATTATTACATTTCATATAAATTGCATATTAAATTTTGATTTTAAATGAATTAATAATATTAATAATATTAACAATAATACAAAAATTTATCGACGACGCATCGCGACACGTTGTGGAGACTTGAGAGAGCGTAAAAACGTCAAGTATCGGCGCAAAGATCCAAGTTAAAAGACCCGGAGACCATCCATCTCTGCGAGCGAACGTTTAACGACCCGAGATCGCAACGTCGTTACCGGTGCGCCATTAACGAGTCCACCTGCATCCAAATAACGTTCCCCGGTAGCGTAATTCCGGCTTGGAGGGCCGGGACTGCCGAGCGTTGATATTTATTTAGCTACGACTGAGAATTCTCTCGTGCTAGGTAACCGTGCAGCTCCGCCGCCGCCCGCGCAACCGCCCCCGGCGGCGCGAGACGAGACGACCGTGAAGAAGAAGGAGGAAGAGGAGGACGAGGACGAAGAGACGAGCAGCTCCTCGGAGGAGACGGAATCCGAGACCGAGGAGGAATCGGAAACCGACGCTCACCCGTCGACCACCACCACGACGTCGGCGACGACAGTGTCGAACGCTGCCCAGGATCGTCAGAGGAACGAATCGGCGATGGCCAGAACTGACATCGGGCCGCTGCTTGCTCGAAGCGCGGAGGCCAGACGCGGCAGCAAGGAGGACTCGCCGACCACCAGGCAAGTATATACCTTACCCCGGGACTTCTAATTCGAAGGTTTCCATTAACAACGTTAACACCGTGCGAGAATCCATCGTCGGCCCGCACGTGCGTGTCGTGAGAACGTGAGAACGTGGAGAACAATTTGACTTTGCGGCGAAACATTTTGGAATTTCGAGAAAGTACTTCGTTTTTTTTCAAAGTAATTTGTTATTGTTCGACAGAGATCCGAGTCGTAGAGATTTGTTTCAGACAGACTCTGTTCTCAGTTTTTAGAGGGGGTCGCCTCTAAATTTTGTTAGATTTTTAATCGAGGTTTCACCTCGTGATGGAATTTTAGTCAGCTTTACGAGTTTTACGAATTATCTCCATTTACAAACTCGCCCCGCTATACGTAGATCAAACAACGTGAAAAGCTCGAAGCTGAATTTTGCGAGAGGTGTTCCAAGCGAGGCGTTCGTCCAAAAATCAATCTACCTCTCTTTAGTTCGATGCGACTCGATTCGAGGAGAGAAAAAAAAAAACCGGTGTGCGAATAAGTAGGGGTCGATAGCAGAATCGCCGGTAATTCCGATTAGCCGCGTTTCGAGCTAATAAACTTTCAAGAACCGATCAGAAATTCCCAGCAGTAGTTGAAAGCTTCCCTCTCTCTCTCTCTCTCTCTCTCTCTCTCTCTCTCTCTTAAATAGAATAGAGTCGATTTAGAGATCGAAGAGGTCCGACGGAAAAAATGCGAACTGAAGTGGAATTGAAACTAGAATATCGAGCGATATCAACTCGTGTCTCAGGTATTCGTCGCCGAGAGGAAGTCCCGCGCATTCGGTGACGAGCCCGACAACGACGGCGACGACGACGACAACGAGCGGCGCGGCGACGACACCGGCCGGCTACACCAGCAGGTTCGTAGCACACGTAGATCACGGTCAGAATCATCATCAGGCCAATTCTGATTCCAATAACCCCCACGACCGTAATCGTTTTAGGACGTTTAGTGACGAACACGATGAACCGTCAACCGTCGATCATGTCGAGGTGGACGGGCTCGCGGCTACGAACGCGGATTACGATATTGACGGATCGATGGTTGTTGTTAAACCGCAGTCGAACAACGAACGGACCCACGTACCGGACGATAGTACGGACACCGACGAGACCGTCACCTCATCCTTCTCCTCCTCCGCGGCCAGATCCAAAAGTCACGAAGGTAGCGGTAACGACAGAGATAGTCGGATAGAGAACCGCAGCGTGGTCAACGAAGACGCGTTAGTGGAAGGTCGTTCGGGGAACGACGTGAACTCTTCGTTATCCGCTCGGATCGAGCGACTGCCGATCGCTGCCCGAGATAGCGGATATCATCCGGACAAAACGATCGCGAGACCTTTCGACGAATCCTTGGGGACCTCGCCAGAAACGGCCATCAACGGAGGCGAGTACGCGAATCGGTACAGCGATCGTCTCGGAGAGAACGTGCAATCGAATTCGGAGAGCGAATCGGGTAGCACTACCGACAGCGGTTCGGAAACGGACGAGGAAGAGGAATCCAGAGACGAGAATAGCAACATAAAGAGTAAAAAGGGGAGAAGTCCGGAGCTAGGTCGTACTCCGTCGCCAGAGCGAAGTGTGCCACGCGAGGACGATTCCAGCGAGGACGAGTCGACCAGTTCCGAAACCGAGCGGATCACCGTGTCAAACGTACCGTCCAACTCTCATTCCGAAGACAGTCACACGCTTCTGGAGCCATACGACGACAGAAGCGCCAAGCGGCGAAGTTCCTCGATACTCGAGGAGAAAAGTATCGAGGAGCTGTTCGACGACAACGGATGGGTGATTACCGATCAGGATCTGCAGGCAGAGACCACACGGAGAATCTCGAAAAGTTTCGAGTCGATCGATCCCGACGACTCCCACGACGGTTCAAACGAGGAGAACGCCGACAAAGTGGAAGACGGCCACGGAACGACCGAAAATGAAAAAGCATCGGGCACGTCGGAGTCGTCCGGGAGTCTGTCGAGAAATCGGGTGTACAGACAGAGTAGCATCGGCAAGAACGGTTGGCTGGTGTCCGACGAGTCCGAGACCGAATCCGACCGGGCCGTTTCACCGGTGATTGGAAATCCAAACGCGACTGAAAATCCAGCGAGCATCGAGAAGGAGCGAGTGAGACGCGACGGTCCATCGACGAACGAGAAAGGAAGTGGCAAAGACTCGATGGTGCCCGATAACCTGGAAGAGAACGGGTGGGTGATCTTGAACAAGGTGAACGACTCGTCTGCCGGGAGAGACGTTGAGGGCGAGAGCACGGACGAGACGAGCACGATTCGTTCCCAAACGACCGACCTCGTACTGAGAGCTAACGTTGAGAACGGCGCGTTAGTCGCGAACGCTGCCCAATCGAAAGAGAGCGAAAGTCGCAACGAGAACGAGGACGCGCCTGGTGTCGATATCGCTATACCGATGCAAATGGTAACCACCGTTTTCTGTGTGTCCGTACTGTGTTACAGCGTTCTAATCAATCTGTTCCTGTAACCGCCTCTCTCTTCTCTTCGCCCTTCCAACCCCCTGTTTCTATTTTACGTTCTCGTCACGTCTTTCTTTTTTTTTTTTCGTCGTTGTTCGTCGGTATTTGGTGGTAAAAGACTGCAAACGCTACTCTCTCACGGACTACGAACGAGACTGACTCCAAAACAGCAAGTTGGTCCGATGCAGCAGTTTCTCCTTTTGCGTTTCGTTTGTTATTTTTATCCTCGCAGTTCGTTCGCTTCAATCTTCTCCATCGCTCTCACACACACACACACATACACACGCGCGCGCACGTTTGTGCTTCTTTCGCGCGAGGATAGGACGTTTGTTTTAAATCCGTAAAAGAGAAACAGACATCGAGAAGAAAGCAATCGAACGAACAAGAGGGAGAATAGTAGTTCACCGGCAACTACCGTTCGTAAATATTATTTTAAAGCGTTGGCTTTGTAACACCAAAGAGAAAAAGGAAGAAAAACTTAACAGTGTTGAAGGGCCATTTGATTGTTACATAAAATTAAAATGTCTGAAGAGATACCACGTATAAAATACATATTCGAACGAAACTCTTCAATCTAGAAACAAAAAAATAAAGAAAAAACAATAATATTAAAGGGCCATTTGATTGTTACATAAAATTGGAAGAAACACTATATATGAAACATACTTCAAATGAGAATCATCAATCTGGTATTAGATTTAGTACCGAGTGTCAACTATATATCTCAAGTACTTGTTTCAGTTTCAATTTAGCAGAACCAAAATATCTTTCAATTGAATTCCAAGTACTTACGAACGGTGGTATCATCGTTTCATCTAGATTCGCGCGCGAGTTGTTTATTCGTCACCCGGTCTCGGGAAACTGCTGCTTGGCACCTCCAACGTCTTCCAATCGATACATCATCGATGCTATCCACTAATCGCCGAGATTCGAAAGCAAACGAAACAAACGGAGTTCTACGGACCGGGAGTTCTCAGACCTCGGTCGGCTCGAGTATTTATCGTCTGGTGAAATACTTGCATTTTATATATTGTGATAATCGTACGTACGATCGTTAGCATAACTTCTCTTGTTCCTACGTTGATCACCCGCGATGATTAATCCCCGCTGATTGCTCAATACACTTCGTAGCTTCGTAGACACGGAAGTGAAAAGAAAAGAAAAAAGAAAAGAAGAAGAAGAAAAAAAAAAGAATCGAGTGATCGCTTTAGTCGGCAATACTAAGCGTACATAGTAAGAGAAACCGTCCTCCTGCAGTGCAGCTTAAGTCCACGCTGAAGTAAATGCTTTCTGGTATCGTCTTCATCGACGGAAATCGCGGTCGCGCTAATGGCACGTGTCACGCGGTATAACGCGTTCCGACTGAACGAGCCAACGCTCGTCCGTTCCCATCGCCATTTCGTGAAAATATTATTTCTCCTCGCGTGCTTGTGAATGACAGAATGATAACTGCATTTACGAGAAATGTCCCAGAATTAAGGAAAATCTCTTTTTTTTCTCTCTCTCTTTCTCTCTGTGTGTTTACTCGCACTGCAATAATTATTCGCTCTGAGGAGAATTAGAATTAATTGGAATTAATTTAAACATTGCACGAACTTTCACCGTCGCGGACGCTTCAGCCAGATCCATCAACGATCGACGCGACGTGTCATTTTTCCAATTCTTTAAATTGTCAATTGTCTGTCTCTGTAATTGACGTCAGAGCCGCGAAAGAAAATTTCGACGATTCGCACGATACATCCTCGTCGTCTGTGTCTTCCATTTAGATTTTGTAATTCTGTGAAATTTTCGAGAGAATCGACGAGTTCGCGGTAAGAGTTGCGTTTGGTCGTTACACGATCGCGCAACGCGTGACCAAGCCATTCCCGCTCCCGCTACGTCATTCTCGTTGATCATTTGTACATTTTTTTTTTTTTTTTGTACTCTTTTTTCCTAGTGAATAGACTTGCGTCAGTTTGTTGGTGTGGTAAATAAACTGCATTTCTTTGTGATAACTCGTATTATTTATTTCCCTGTCAACTTGTCCTCAGCTTAGATAAGCATATGGTTAACAAGAACAACGGGAACAGAGAGACGCCGCGTCTCCCACTTGTAAATTCTCTGTACTTTTTACTATCTGTCTTTCTGTTTATTTGTCTTACTCTTTGTTACACTCGTCTCTGTTGTTCTCGCCTCTCTTGAGATTATTTTCTTTCTTATCTTTTCGTCTCATCCCCCGAGGGGATATCTTTCCAAGTTATCTTTATCGTTCACTTTTCCCTCGTATACTCGTATATTCGTATATTATCTCCCCCCCCCCTCGCCTTTTTTAAGAAGAAAAACAAAAAAAAAACAAAAAGAAGAAGAGGAAAAAAATGCATCTTTATTTATTGCACTAACAGATTGAACGTTCTCGCCAGAATTGATCGTGTGAAGTCCTTTCGTTACTCGTTCGTCACACGCCACCACCCTTTTCCCTCCAGCGAGATGCTTTCACGAAGCCGCTCAACCCTTTCTCTGTATTTAAAACACCCCTCCCTCTAGACCGCTACTTGAAAACTCTGTTGCAACATCATCAAGATGCACGCACGCTCATACTACGAATTTACAGCGTACTCGACGAAAATGTAGTTCCGAGGAGAAGGTAAAAATCGATCCACACGTAGGAGGCCACGATCAAGGTATCATACATGTGTTGTGACAACGCTCGTTTTCGATACTGGAGCAGTTAGTATTAAATGCAGCTTGAAGAGAACGCAACGATGCTTCCGTCGAGCCGAACGAAGCTGTCGTTTGCAACACAAATTAATCAGACGATTTTTAACGACTTTAACAACGAAACTTTGAAACGATTTAACAAACGCTTCTTCGAATTTCATTAACCCCTTTGCAACCACGAGAGAGGCACAGATGCAGTGTACGCGGTGAAGATATTTCGCGTCTCTTTTCATTAAGGCAAAAGTTTTCTTTTTTCTTTTTTTTTTTGCGAAAGCAGAGATCGCAAGATTATAAATTAATGGATTATAAATTAATACAAATTTTTTGTGAAATTTCAAGAGAAGGTACTTTGGATGTTTTTAGGAGGTCCTCTCACTTCGTGCGTCTTCTCTGCAATTTTGAACTTTGAAATTTCCTCTACAAATTATTAGTTAGTGTTTATCAGAGCTTTTATTTAACTATTCGATATGAAAATAATGAATTTAAATTTACGATGATTTAATTTCAAAATAGGCATACTCATAAAATTCAATTTCCGTGATTCTTTAATGCTCTTCAGAAAGCACTATTCTAGGACGAAAAATTCGAAGAAAAATCGACTCGAATATACAAATATACAGTCGACGTTGGACACAGGTTGCATAATTAACAATATTTATCTAACTTGACTTCAAAACTGTTCAAATATTAAAAACCAAACGCGCAAGACACTTCATCTGTAACGCAATACGAATGACAGTTCATTGTGAGACATCCTATCGGTGGTTGCAAAGCGGCCAAGTTACTTTCTCTCCCGAGCTTGTCTAATAGCATAGGGGTAACATCGAATTCGAAATTCACGAGTGCCAACACGAGAACACATGAAATATTACAGAATGTGACCGCATTGTGCGCGATGCGGGAAGCGTGCTCGAGGCATGCAGCAAAAGGTTTAAATATAACTCGTTTGTTACTTTAAATATCCGCCGGTGCACAGATAGTCAGCCGAGCTATATCGGTCTGTAGTCTACTTGACTGGAAACGCGAATGTTATTCCAATACGTTCGACGTCACCGACATTAAACGCGCTAGCCGGAGAATCGTTTCGAAAACTCCCTCGTGAAAGCTACCCGACCAGCAAGATCTAGCTGTTTAAATAATGTTTAAAGCCAGCCTTTCTCTCTGGAGTTTTCCCTCTGGCCTGAAAACACGGTGAACCGGAACTTTTGGAAATTCGATTCGAGGGGGAGGGCACCAGGTCGTTGCACCAAGGTTCACGAAGGGATCAGAAAAATGTGGGTTGACGGCGATCTTAAAATTTTAAGACTACCGTTTGCAATAACTCCGCTGTCGTACATATTTACCGCGTGCAATATTGAGAGAGGCACGTTTGAATGAAATGGGAATTCAATGAGAAATGAAGAATGTAACAAACAAATTGAACTCTCAAATACTATCATCGGATGATAGATGTTCGTGGCGCATTTAAAATACTTTACATCACCACGTGATACAAATTCCGAAACTTAATAAAAAAATTGTACGGCTTCTACAAAGTACTTTCACAAAGTAACTCAATGCATAGTTATAAACGTAAAATTTTCCCCGGTCTACAGATCTTAATTCGATACAAGATATTTGATATCTTACGTTTAAAAGAACGAAGATGAGACATTCCTCGTAGCTTGACTTTTTTCACGCGTTTCGACACACGATTCGATCTCGCGTCGAGAAGCAGTAGGAATTTTGTCGAGAGAGAGATAATAATTGAAAGTAAAAGATCCACTTTCTCCGGGATAAAATAAAATTGCTTTCAGCGATACGCGGTGCCCCGTTTACTCGCCACTTCCCGCGATTTATGAGGACCGTGATAAAGAACCGACGTATCAAGCAGCGCGCTACAGATTGATATATAACACGGCAGATATGCATCCGTTTTCACTACCCGGCACACCATGGATATACGGCTGATTACACATGAGATTTATACCACGTTGTGACTAATTGCCATGGATCCCACGATAGAATGGTAACTAACACTTGCAACGATATAATAGCGAGAAAATGTGACGCGATACATCACGACGATAGAACGTACGTATGGTTATCAATGAATGCCAGCGCATATATAACATATATAGGAGCGTATTAGAAGAGACAGGCTGAGACTATCACCTCGAGATCGCGATATTCGGTTTCAGGGAACGAAACACGTCACGAACTGTATCATATTCGTCGGAAGAAGATATTGCTAAATGTTACTAAATTGTACATACAACTGTAACTCCGAGTTAACAGCTTCGAGAGTTCAAGCTTCAGTTTTTCTGCTCGAAAAATAATCTGCGCGGAGGATCCGTGAACCGGACGAAGTACGGAATCGGTCGCTTCTAACACCAGCGTAGTGGCTAGCGAAGGTGTTTCGACTCATGTCGACCATCATATGTCGCTCACCATATTCATTGAATTCATATTTTGGAATTTCTTTGCCACTGTAGCGAAACACATGTATGCCATAATTGTATTGGTTATACCTGAAACTAAATCCGACAATGTACTTGGAAGTTGAAAGGTGATTAAGTTATTGTCACGTTACGTTTTACAAATAAATGTCAGTCTACTAGTTGTCTGAAATTACCAGAACCAATTACCAAAGTTTCTTATCAATGATGTTGGTTTAAATAATTTCGTGATTTCTGCGAATACGTACTAGCTACTAAGTATCTTGTAACATCAAACGACGCTACGAGTTAGTTTCAAACTTTGCCAATATAATCGCAACAGACGAGTCTCGTGCTACAGCGTTAATGAAATTTCAAAACGTTTCATAAAACACGCGTAACGTATGAAATTGCACAAGGGTCTGTATGTCTCTTGAACGTGATATTGAATTGAGGATCTAGTGATCTACAATCATACTTGAATATATTTAACAACGTGAAAAAAACGTTCTATATAAAAACTATACGACCAAATACTTTCGCGAGCCACCGTATGATCGATAACCCACGACACAAAGACACCTATCGATGTTTTCTTCCACTCTTAATCTACGCGACAGAGTAACAGATCTTCTCGATCGAGCAAGAACGATCTGAACGAGCCAACCTTCGTTCGACGATGTTGCAGGTTTCTGAACAAGAGCAGAAGCCAGGCGGCGATGATGGCAAGCCGGGAACGAGAACGGGAACGGGAAAGGGAACGAGAACGGGACCGAGAACGGGAACGAGAACGGGAACGGGAACGAGAACGAGAACGGGAACGAGAACGGGAACGGGAACGGGAACGGGAACGAGAACGAGAACGAGAACGCGAAAGAGAAAGAGAACGAGAGAGAGAGCGCGAACGAGACGCGGAGACGGAGGTCGACTCGCCACTGTCGGCGAGGTCGCGATACGCCGCGTTGAAAGAGAGAAGACAACGGCTGGCGCGGTCCAGAAGCTCGCACAATTTCGGCGGAGATGACCTCGACCTCGACGAGGAGCCACCCTCTCCGACCACCCAGTCGCCGAACGCCTACTTGGCAGCCAAGTACGGAGCCGGGTCTGAACTGGCCAGAAGCCGGAGTACACACGCCCTGAAGTCAAGAGAGCCGAGCCCGGAACGCGACAGAGTTGGCACGGAGAAGGATGGAGCAGCATTGAGCTCGTGGGCACGTTACCTGAAGAACAAGTACGGGAATCGCACCACCAAAGACAAGGAACCCTCGACCTCTGCATCGACGATTCCATCGTCGTCCAGGTGAGGCATTAATCCTGTACGAATGAACGTATGTACATACAGTGACTATTTGAATTCGACTCTATCGAGATTGAGTAAGAAAGAGATTACAACTCAGGCGGGATATGCTTGCAGCGGAAGTGCAACCTCGAGGAGATTGTCGCTGGGACTGCCTTTGAGGCACGGTGGTCAAACGTCCTTCGAATCCTCCGACGACGATCAAAAAAACCCGTCAGGCTCCCCCACGTCCCCTACAGCAGCTCTCGGTATACCCGCGGCAGCAGGTTCCTCCACTAGGTGAGTCTATCTATCATTTGAAACTATATGTAGTTTATAATTAACTCCACTGCTGTCTTTTAAATTCTTAGGATTTACCACTCTGTTGCTTTCGTAAGTTCGTTTTTCGTTTGTTTGAAAAAGATGGAGAATTGATAAAGATCAAATCAGTTTGTACAGAGGCAACGTGAAATTCTTCGAACGAAGAAGATTTGACAAAATTTGTTGAAATTGTCGACAGTAATGGCCGGAGGAGTCACTACTTGCTGAAGCGGCGACAGCTGTACAAGTTCGGGATGCGGGGGAGCGAAGCCGGATGCTTTACCTGGCCGAGAGGCCTCGCGGTTGGCCCTGACAATTCCATCGTCGTGGCCGACAGCTCCAATCATCGTGTTCAAGTAATTCATTCTCAACATTTCCCTCGATACAATTTCTGCCGCCTGTCGCGAAGGAGATCTCGAAGAAATTCGTTCGTCGCGCGATGTGCCATTTCTAAAGTGCCATTTTCATTCTCCAAAATATGCGAGACGAATTTAACAGGACGAACGAATTTATTACACAAATTGCTAAATTACGAAATTGATAAAATTCCTGAACGATGGAGAAAAAATTCAGTACAGGGGGGGGGGGGAATTTTCAAGAGATCGATACATGGCGTTAAAAATTTACAGGTGTTCGATTGCAACGGGAACTTCATGAAGGAGTTCGGAACGTACGGCAGCGGCGAGGGTGAATTCGACTGCCTCGCCGGAGTGGCCGTGAACAGGATCGGGCAGTACATCATCGCGGATCGTTACAACCATAGGATTCAGGTTCTCGATCCTTCCGGTCGTTTTCTCAGAGCCTTCGGCTCCCAAGGGACCGCCGACGGTCGGTTTAATTATCCCTGGGGAATCACCACCGACGCTCTTGGATTTATTTACGTGTGCGATAAAGAGAACCATCGCGTACAGGTACGTGCCTTCGCGATATTGTTGTTTATTTTTCTTTCTGTTGTAAATTCTGTTATAAATTATTGTTCGGGAGATCGACGTTTGAAAACGGCACCGTCGATGCGACAACGTGCACCAAACGCTCAAAGATATCGCGCCTTCACCTGTGTTACACCGCAAACTTACGATAACGTTAGCAAATATGATGTTGTTAGCTTTCAGTGTTCGTTAACCCCCTTTCAAATCCTCGTTATGTGTACCTAGACTTTGTATAGTTATATAATCCTAAGAATAAAAAGCCTTCGACTTTTTTTCCTTCAATAAAAGAAAAAAAGATATTAATTTCGAGTATAATTCTCTGTTTGAAACCCCCCGAACGTCGATATGAGAGAAACGTGAGCGCAGAGCGACGATGAACGATCCAAGTTCTTCTGTAGTGAAAAGAAAAAAACGAAAAGAAAAGAAAAGAAAAGGTTAAGGGAATGAGATGCTTACTTGAGATGCACGGCGTTCAACAATGGACGAAACGTGAGTGAATATTGCAACAGCAGCAACACGATCAACACACGTGATCCCTCCGCTGACTTTCGATTCCTTTTCCGATCTTCGACGTCTCACGTAGGTTTGTGTAAAACAAAAAACAAAAAAGGTGGACTGTTATCTGCTAATTGGTGTGTGCAAGCGTATCTCACGTGGTAGCGTCCTTTTTTTTCTTCTTCTTTTTTTTTTTTTTTTGAGGTAGTAGGAAAATAATCCCAGAAAAAAAAAACTGTAATCAGATTGCTGGCGTAAATAAATCTCTAATGCAAATAAGCAAAATAATCACTGTAACGAAACATCTGTGTCTGGCAACGTGAAATATGCAGTCTCTGTGTTCTACCGTGTAATCGCTTCAGCGGCGTCTGTTTTCGCAGGTATTTCAGTCGGACGGCACGTTCGTGGGCAAATTCGGTTCCTGCGGAAGCGGTCGCGGCCAGCTGGAGCACCCTCATTACATCGCGGTGAGCAACACAAACCGCGTGATCGTCAGCGACGGCAACAACCACCGTATCCAGATATTCGACGTGAACGGCCGCGTGCTGACCTCCTTCGGATCCGAGGGCTCCGACGAGGGTCAGTTCAAGTTCCCAAGGGGTGTCGCTGTGGACGACCAAGGCTACATCGTCGTCGCCGACTCTGGCAACAACAGGATACAGATATTCAGCCCAGAGGGGGCGTTCCTCAAGTGTTTCGGCGGCTGGGGTAGCGGTGACGGTGAATTCAAGGGCCTAGAGGGTGTTGCCGTCACGTCGACCGGTAACATCGTCGTGTGCGATCGCGAGAATCACCGCGTTCAAGTCTTCTAATTTCGATTTCACTTCGTTTCGTTTCGACTCTCCTCTCCGTTCTATCTTCTGTGATTCTTGTCGACCACGCACACGTCGAACGATCACCAACGAGAGGCTGTCTGTTTCAGTAGAAAATGTATTTTGTTACGACGTTTCTTGACGGAAGGACGGAAGGTTCCTTGATTTTCAAATCAAATGGGTTTCCAGACCGAAAGAACGAATGAGACACGTCGCCGTTAACCGCTTGCTTGCGTTAGAAATTAACACGTAGCTGCGTTGTGCTGAGCTAATCTCTTCTTACAAGCTTCGGTATCTTTCTCTCGATGGGAAAGATGCGTTTGAACGATCGGCTGGAAATTTTCGCGTTCCTCTCTACCGTTTCGATGTCGATGCGTCTCACTGCGGCGACGATGGGATCGAAAAGGAACTTTTGGACGTCGGTGAATTGAGAAGTTTTAGCTTGAAGAATGAAACAAAAGAAAGAAAAAAAAAACAAAAGAAAAAAGAAAAGAAGAAAGAAATAACACTTTATCTGTTCTTCTCTCTCGTCTTACCCCCTTTCCCTCATTCGACCATCTTCCTCGTACGCACGTCATACTCGCGTAACGTAACTTAATTTATATTCAAAGTGACAACAACAATACAGTTTGTACCGTTTGTATGCTTTAAATAAATTGTTGCGGAGGTAATAAAGGAGAAACGAAAAAAAGAAAAAAAAAAGAAAGAAGAGATGTCTCGTTTGTTCTCACCGAGATATTTCCATGAAAAGTCAGAGGAAAGGGGGCGGGAAAAAAAAAGGAAAAGAAAATCTCACCTCCTTTTATATCAAAATCCATTGACGATCTCGTTCTTGAAAAGAGAAGAAAAGGAAAGAAAAGCCAGCCGGTGGAAATTAGGAGCCGGTTCGGTGGCATTTCGTGGTAGAGGATTTCGTGTGTTGGACGATTGAACTAGAGCTAGAATAGACAAATAAGCCGGGGGTGAGTCAAAAGGTAAGTGAGTCAATAAATATATAATTTATTAAATGCAATGATGAAATGGTGTAACAATAGGGGGGGCGGGCGAACGGCGATCGCAGGATCGCCGTGCGAGGGCGGACAAGAGGTAATATAACGCTGCCCCGTCCGACACCCCCGGATCGGAAATATAGATAAAATATTTTCGTTATTATTTACAATATTAGTTGAACGTTAGTCAATAAATAATAAACAGTGGCGTAATCCTTTATTTAATATAATTTAATAATGTAATATTACGTTTGCGATAATAAAAATATTACAAGAGATGGAGCCTTTACCATTATTCGTTTCCACTAAAAGTAGCACGAACTTGTTTAAATTATTGCAGCCACCGTTCGAAAGTTCACAGCCAGCACGAGACGAGAATTCCTCTCGATGTACATACATATATATATACTTCCACCTCGTTTCGTGTCGATCGCACGTCGTACGGTGTGTGTCGACGATCGTGATATTCGTTGAAAAATCGCCCCATTTTCTCGCCGACACACCGGCCCGAAAAGGAATCAGCTCGCCGTGAATTTTCGAACGTGAGTAAACGTCGGCTGGATGTTAGATGTCGAAACAGCTGTCGAAACCATCAACCTTCCGGGATAGTCGCTCTTCGCGAAATCGAATGGGATTTAACAAATTAATTACATAATCGGCGTTACGCTTCCTCGATATCCGTGTAGAAAAACCGCATTGGACGGCGCGGTGAACGTCGGTGCAACGGCCACGCCGTCGGATTATCACAACGAAAGTTTTACGCGACATGCTTGGACGTTATTATCGAGTAAAATACCAGAGGGTCGAATACACCTCGATAAGACTAGAAATATGTTTATGTAACGCACACGGGCCAGGCAGGCAGCAAGCAGGTACAAAGTGACCGTCTTAATCAAGGAACAGTGAGTAGAACATGAGCTAGGCACCGATATCCGATCGTTTCGACCTTTTCGACATCGTGATACAAACGTCCTACTGGGATGACCCGTGATACACCAACATGACGTTAGAATCGAACGTTTGTCGCATCTTATATGAAAAAAAAAAAAAAAAAAAACTCATATGGACATAGCTTTTTTTGTCTTTCTTTTTTTTTTTATTTCCCTTTAGTTTTCTGCAGAATGTTTTCTCTTCAAGTTTCAAGTTACTCTTTTGTTTTTCCAACGAGACTGAGAATCTCGCGTGAAGTCGACAGATTTTTTTCTGTTCCTTTTCTTTTTCTTTCTCTCTTGTCGCCCGTTGGAAAAATGAATTTTCGTCATCTCTTCGAGGATAATTAGACTGCTGTGCGATTTGAAATGCCAATAGGTGATAATTCAGTCGTGCTGGTTTATAACGAGGCATCTTACACGCGTATAATTATTCTCGTGCGATTTTCTGGAGACTGGACAATTGGAAATATTCGAATCTATAGCACGAATCAATCATTCCCAATTAGAAGAGAAGTGTTTTTTTTTTCTTTTTGGTTTTTTGTTTCTTAATAGTCCTCTATATACCTACTGATTCGTCTCTGCATCTAGAAAGTTTAGTTTGAAAAGTGGCATGACATATTTTCTCATTCTGTATCGAGTTTAATTAAGTAGTAATAAAGTTATAATTAATTATTTATATTAATTAATTAAAGTGGCAGCAGTTAGGCCATGCGGCTCCTATCATCTAGTCGTCTTTGACTCTTGGCTTTCTTACGTAGATTTAAAAATTTGTTTACTTATTAAACTTTTATATTTTGAGAATAATTTTTATTAAATGACTTTTAAAGTTTAATGTATCCTCGAAGCGCCTACCCTAGCGATGTCTTTTTAATTAATATTATTTTTTAGCATTTTCTCGTGTATTTTTTTTTCTTTTTTTTCATTTTTAATCCCGCTGTTCTCCGTAGATCTCGATATAATCTCGGTGTACGTGGTAATTTTAATGCGACTCTAGAATAATTAATGGGGAACTTTGAAATATTTTGTCCGCGGCGTCGACTTTTCCATTCTGGGAACTTTCCTTAAATCGCGACTGAAAAATACTGTGTGCAAATATTTTATTACTTCTTTTTTTTTTTTTACTTCTTTTCTCGTTTTTTGTATCTTTTTTGTTTTTTTTTTTTTTTTTTTTTTTCTTTGATAGCTAGCAGGTTGGTTGATCAGATCGAGAATAGTGAGATTTCAACGAAAGTATTTTTCAGGGAGAGTCGAAAGAAATTTCTATTTCTGGAAGAATAAATTTTTAATTACTACCTCTTTTTTCCATTTTAATTAATTTTTTCTTTTTCTTTAGTTGATAGCAGGTTGGTTGATCAGATCGAAAATAGTGAGATTTCAACGAAAGTATTTTTTAGGGAGAGTCGAAAGAAATTTCTATTTCTGGAAGAATAAATTTTTAATTACTACCTCTTTTTTCCATTATAATTAATTTTTTCTTTTTCTTTAGTAGGTAGAAGATTGATTGATCAGATCGAAAATAGTGAGGTTTCAACGAAAGTATGTTTGAGGGAGAGTCGAAAGAAATTTCTATTTCTGGAAGAATAAATTTTTAATTACTACCTCTTTTTCCCATTTTAATTAATTTTTTTTTCTTTAGTAGGTAGCAGGTTGGTTGGTCAAATCGAAAATAGTGAGATTTCAACGAAAGTATTTTTGAGGGAGAGTCGAAAGAAATTTCTTCTTCTTCGGAAGAATAAATTTTTAATTAGTTTCTGACGTTTGGAAAACATAAATAAAAAAAGTTAACTCTGAAAATTTTTAGAATTTTTAAAAAATTTCAAGAGTAAACGAGGGTAAACTTAATTTAACTTTTCTAACTAGAAATGCGCTACATCTACAAATTTGGTAAATCTCGGAAAAATTTTAAACAGCTGCAAGATCCTGCATTCTAATAAGAAGACAATACGTGAAACAACTTCGTCAATTGCAACAAATGTAATTGATCTAATCCAACAACACTAGAGAGAGTTAATTGGCCTTTTAAACGTAATATATTTCGTATCGTGCGAGTATCGTGAATTCATATCAGCAGCAAAGAGGCGCACCTTAATGACGTTACTATCCTTCGACCGTAGATAGCTTCCTGTCTATGTGCCACGTATATTTTCTATATATGTACGTACACACACACATACACACACGAGCGCACGCGTGCACACACATATATGTATATATTATGTATTATACGTTACCACGAAATCTGATGCTGCTCCTGGCTTGCGGTTGACAAGGACTTGGGAATGACGTACGAACATCGATTGTGTCATTAATGCTTAATCATGGATAGTGCTTCATAATCGCGTTACCTTTGTCCTGTACGAATATTAGATAGCAGTCGATCACTTATCTTCAAAGTCGCGGATCAAAAGGCTCAACTTACGTTCCGCCGTTCAAAGCCTGGTGTCAGTCCCAAGGAAATTTCGTAGGTAGGGAAATCATCGATGCGGATCATTGATTTTCACAGGGGTATATTCACGCTAATCGTTCGAAAATATCGATATTCAAAACGTTCGTTCGAAATATTTTTTACTTCGTTTTCGTAATTGTTTTCGTGCGATTGCTCGTTTCAATGTAATTGCACGAATAACGTTTAAAACGAGTGTGACCTCTTTACGATAATGATGGAGGAACGTTTAGTTGTTTCTCGTATTAACACCAGAAATTCTACCAAAGATCTCACCAGAGACATTAAAAAGAAAAAAGATAGAAAAAGTGTAAAGTACACGAGCTTTTATGTATTGAAAAGTTTAAAGTACACTGTTTTATATTTATGATATATCTAAGAAAAATTACGACTCATTTTGACAATCTCGGTAGTTCTAGAAGTTGAAGAATATTCTGTTTTCGTGATAAAAAGAAATTTATAAACGAAAACAAAGTAATAAATATTCGTCTTAAATGTGATACTTTGATTTGCATTTACGTTTTAATAAAAATTCGTTCTTACATAAAATACTTGTTAAAAATAACGAACTTTACCTAATAACAAAAATTGAAGTCCTTTCCTCCTTTTGTTTTTTGTTTTATGGTCAGTAAAAATTCTCCGATGAAATAAAATAGAATCTAGACGTCTAGACGAAAGAAGAAAGCAACTGGCACGTGGATAGTGCAACTCTTTCAGGAATTGACGTTCGAATCGAACGATGAATCGAAGACTGCACGATCGATGTATTTTTCTTTTTTTTTATTTCTTTTTTCCAGTCACTCCAGTCTGTCACCACGGTCAGATGAAGGTGTTCGGGGTGGCGCGACAGGAAACCGCGAGGATACCGTGCGAGCTCGAGGCAAATCCACCGGAAGTAACGTTTACGTGGAAGTTCAATAACACAATGGAAGCGATCGACATACCGCAGGCGCACGTCGCCAGTGAACGAACACGTTCCACGGCCTCTTACACGCCGATGACAGAGCTAGACTACGGCACTCTACTTTGTTGGGGCACTAACGATCAGGGTACCCAACTCGAGCCCTGTGTCTATCACATCGTGCCAGCTGGTGAGTCTAGTACATGTTATAAATTATAATTTCGCTTCTTTTTCTTTTCACCCTCTTTCTCTGCCCGGGATAGTTTTCTCGCATTGCACCATATATATGTACATACATATGTGCGTACGTACTTAATTTTGGTTGTGCAAAAATCTTAATAGATAAATAAATGAGAATATTTAAAATACCAAAATATTCTACGTACAAATCACTATGATTTAAATGATGATTAAAATAGATGATGATTAAAATAAATAGATTTATGCAATTCGTGCTTCTGTCCAAACAGAAATTAATATAGGATGGTCACTGAAGAACTGAATGATATAAAGCAAAAATAATTTTCACAAACACGTGTTTTTCTTTAAATTTTTTATTACTTTATTTGGAAATACAATTAATTTTTATACAGTATTATGTAGTTTTAATCTGCAAGAGATGCTCTCTAATCTACAAGAAAAGAAAATGAAAAAGATTGAAAATGAACAAGTTATGACCTTTTCAAACCCTTCAGTCTTTCAGTGGCCACCTTCTATTAATTTTGACAAGAAGCTTATCTTTCAAGTAGTTTCAAACGAAAGTCTGAAACTCAGTCGTATCGATCCTTCGATTGTTGCAGTACATTAATAAAATTATAATGCTACTATTTATAATACTAACAAAAATTAATTGTACAATTATTTATAACGCGCGTATAAAAATAATATTCCGTACACGTGACTGTCATTTCAAAGTATATTTATATTTAAGCATAGTATATTTAAGTGTAACCCAGGCAAAGCAAATGATAAGTGTATTACTTCTTAATAATTTCTATCCAGTGATATCATACCGACGAGTTCAAAAGAGAAAGAAAGCGACGGATTATTGTATGCGGTTTCGGTCACTCGTTATGGTCCGCGAACCAGTTGCCAACGCAAGAGGTTAAGATATGTACTTCTCCCGGACATTTTGCACTTCGCAATCTCGCTCCGTTTGTTTCATTTATCGCAACTCTTTCCTCTACACATCCCTCGAGCTAAAAAGAAAGAGGATGATTGGTAAGAACAACCGCTTTGTTGCAATCAAAGGAGAAGGAACAAAAGAAAGGATAGCGCGCGCGATGACTTTCCCCGCTGAGTCGTTCATTTTTAACCAGCGGCAGCCAGAAATTTCAGAATTGCGCGACTTCGGATAATCCTTTAATCCAAGGGGAATTTCCATTACCCTTAAGTGCGATGCGCGAAAGCGTTGAAATAATACGTGAAATTGCGCGTTCGCGCGAGGAAATTTCCATCTGGGGGAAAATCGTGCAATACGGCGCAACTTCCGCGAAACAGAAGAAATAGAAACGTTCGTTTTTAATTATGTAACGAACGCGAATGTAAACCGTAGGAAGTTAAAATTCTAGTAAATATAAATCGCGAGGATTTATGAGGAGGAGAGATGAAGGTGGGGCCATGGAAAAGGCACAAGGCTGCAAAAGTAATTCGAGGAAAAGCGCCACCCGCGGGATGCTTGACAGACGTAAATTAGTTTTAAAAAGTTTCCTCATTATGCAGATTAGAAACAACCGACGACCGACTCCCCGTTTCCCTCGGTCGGACGTCCGTTTCCTTTCCGGTGTTGTCTCGTTCTTTTCTGCGTTTGACGACCTCTTAATGAAACGTTACGAGAAGAAAAAAAATGAAAGGGAAAGAAACGAAGAAGAAAACGACCAGCCTCTCGTCGTTCGATCGAAGAACCTGCTAATTGTAAGTGGAACTCTCTCGATAGTACGTTGCCAAGGTTTTTACAGAAAAGAAAAAAAACGGACCAATTGCTCTGCGTTTCGATTGAAGAAAAACTGAGAGATGGAATTTTCTCAGATCGATGATTTTTCTATTTTTTAGTCGTGGATTTCTTCGCTCGTTCCAAAGTGATATTGAATTTTGCCGACGAATGATGTTTCGTGTACAACGTATAAATTAAATTTCGGGAACTCTGAACCACTCTATCTCACCTCTCTGGCATGAGGCAACTTCCTTTCGCGAGTACAATGCAAACTCGTTCTATCGCGAAGCTTTTGGAAACAAAACGCGAGAACTCGAACGAATCGTATCGTATCCGAGGAGATCCATCGTGCTTCGACGAACGTGCTTCAACACAATGTTGAATGGTGAAACAGGCCGAATAAAAACCGCTATTAAACGCGATCGTCTACGGGAGACTTAGCTCTGTCTCGGAACGAAAACCTAACTAAGCTTGGTATCTGTTGATTAAAGACGACAGGGAAACGGCCGTCGTTTGGTAGACAAGCCAGTTTCACCGGGGTTCGTACGTGAACAGAGAGACGCTGGAAGATGGTGTCTCTCTGCCCTTTCAGTATTCCGTTCTCGTCCGTAGAAGGCAGACGTTTGTCGTCGTAGTTTCCTCGACTTCGGGCATCCTCGCTTCATCTCTTGCCTCCTCGACTTGCAATCACGGGTCAGCTACTCCAGAGAGCTTCCTTGTCGGGGAAGGATACACCGGAGGTGACGTTCTAGCTGCTTTACCACATCTTTAATTGACATATTTGTTTACTTTTTATAATCGATCGTTATATATACCCAAGGGGAGGGGGGGGGGGAGTAAAAGTTTCGATAAAGGAAACGAATATAGAAGCAGATTGCATCTGTGTACGTGACAGATAACACATGTTCGGTACGTGATTCAAAAATCGAGATATCACGGTGTTGGATTATATTGGTATTATAATGTTGTTTGAAGAATTTTTTCAAATTAGAGAACTGTAAAAAAGGAAGTAATTACGCAGACACAGGTGATTATAGTAGTATCTTCGTGTTTCTTCACTATCAACATTTTTATCAGTAAATTTTGAATAATTAGGGGGCTCGTGGTTACGAACGTGCTGTTAATTTTTCTAGATTGGCTCTTTTCGAGCAAACGCTTATGCCCGAAATATTCACGAAAAGGAATAAAGTCAACATGAAAAAGAAACATAACCATATAATTTTATAAATCAAAGTTATATAATTTTGAAAATCGAAGTCAATTCAGTCAGAGCGAATATACAATAATGAAATCAAGACCCTCGATGTATAATCTTAAAAAAACAGATTAATAAATTATAAAATTTTTTCTATTATTAATTAATACTAAAATCACAATTTTTAAATTATTATTATCTTAAAATTATCATTTAATATTATCTAAATAAATTTATAATTTATCCCATGAATTTTTTTCGCTTAATATTACTTAATTAATTATTATTATATGTAAATTAAATTTATTTTTTAAAAAACTAGATACAAATAAATACGACAAACATCTAATTTCTAAATATATATTTATTTTCTTTATTTCATAAAATATATTATCATAAACCGATCTTTGGCAACATAAATTATTATTTAATTAATTATTATTATTATGTATAAATTAAATTTATTTTAAAAAACTAGATACAAATAAATACGGCAAACATTTAATTTCTAAATGTATATTTATTTTCTTTATTTTACAAAATAAATGATCAGAAACCGATCTTTCGCGACAACCTTCGGCAATGTTACAAAAAAAATTTTCTTCTCCTTTCCCGATGTGTTTTCCATCTCGTTCAACTCGACGTTTTCATAATCCACGTCACTCTCGTCGAGCGGGTAATTACCGAAAAGCGAGTGGCAACTTGCTTGCGATTCTAGTCGCGACCGTACCAATTATTCGCCTTTGCAGGTCACCCCGACACGCCGCACAATTGCTCTCTTCTGAACCAGACGACAGACTCCCTGTACGTGGAGTGCACAGAGGGATTCGACGGCGGTCTGCCGCAAAAGTTCACGATACAGGTGGACCGTGAGGCGGGGACCAGCAGTACGTCCTCGAAACCGAGCACCACCGTCTACAATCAAACGAGCAAAGTGCCGTCGTTCTCGGTGGGAAACCTCGAGCCCGGCACCACCTACGACGTGCACATATACGCGAGCAACAGCAAAGGTCGCAGCGAGACGGTCCACTTTCGCTCAACCACGCTGAATCTGCCCGAAAGGCAAACAGGTGAGTTTGCAACATCGAGTTTCTCCCTGTCTCTACCGGATGTATATATATATACATGTATCCGTATATATGTATACATATATCCGGGATAACGCGCGAGCAGCCTGTCTCTCTCACGGCAAGTGATCGATCGACGCCGATACGACGACCGTAATATCGGAATCAACGTCGAGATCAACGACGATCTACTTTCGAGCACTGTCTGCTACGCTGCACGGCCTTGCATCGTAGATTGCTCACGTGATTATCTATATTTCTTCTTCTTTAGTACTCCCTCGTTCTTCGTCCACCTCCACCTTTCTGGCTCTCTTTCACTATCTGTTCACAAGCACCGATATATTGACGCGTGGCCCGCCTTTTTCTTTCTTTCTTTTTTTCTTTCTTTCTTTCTTTCTTCCTTTCTTCCTTCCTTCCTGTGATTCCGTTCCGACCATTGCTTTTCTCCGTTTCTTCTCATCGATCCTGCACCCTCCCCCGTTAGAGAATTATATCGACCTTCGGCCCGTTTATTTACGATCCAGCAGGCAAGAACGAGCGAACGCTGCAATACACACGTGTCGATAGGTTGTCCGTGAACTGACTTTATATATATATCTGAAAATCTGAACTTAGCAGAATTCTTCTTTAAAGAATCAAAGTCCTCGTCGTCCAAGGACTTTTACGATTAATCGTCTCGATTCGATATTTTGTGATTTGTAGAGAAAGAAGTGTCGAATATCGAAACGTCGAAGATGCAAACGAAGGCAAGTGAAATTCGCAAATTTTTCTTCTTTTTTTTTCGTCAATTTTGATTGACAATCGATCTATCGAGAACGGCGCGTGAAAGTTTCCTTCGGCAAGTTGAAATGGTTTTTCAAGTCCGTGTCACCGTAGAAAAAAAAAAAAAAAACTGACATCGCGTCGCGACAGAGATAGTTCCATTATCTTGATTGAACTGCAGTTTTACAGAGCGAGGGGAAAAAAAAAAGAAGAACGTCAGTTAGCTTGACATCGTCACGCTGCAGCGTTTACTCGGCCCCTGGTATCGTAGACGCGCGATTAGGCTTTCGAAATCGATCGTTCCGACCCTCGATCACCACCAGTCAACCCGAATCGAACGAGCTTCCGGTTCCTGTCGAACTCGATTATCGTGCTCCGCAGTCCACGTCTCATCGGCTACGGTTACGAAAGATGTAACGGAACCACCCTCGATTGTTCTGTCGATTCAACGAGTTCTAACAACGTGCAGAAAAAGAATCCACTTTGTCTTCTGGAATTAAGTTTCCTTTTTTTTTTTTTTTTTTTTTTTTTTTTTTTTTTTTTTTTTTTTTTTTTTTTTTTTTTTTTTTTTTTTTTTTCTTTCTTTTTCGTTTCGTTCGTTCTCGAATGTCGGAAAAGCGACGTAGAACCGCAGTGTTCGAAGATCGGGCCACCGTCTCGGAAACTCTCGAAAAAAACCCGTTTGTTTCGGCGTGTACGTACATACGGAGTTCTAATTTCTCACTTCTCTTTTTTTTTTCATTTTTTATTTACTTATTTTCACTTCTTCGAAAAAGTCAATAATTTTTATCGTAAAATTCGAAAAATTGATTGCCACGCACGAAGTTGTACAAGCCCGACAGACTAAAAATATTCCTAAATGTGAGACTTCCATTTTTTTTTTCTTTTCTCCGTCATCGGCCACGCTCCCCCGTTTTTTTTTCATTTTAATCGTTTTTTTTTTTTTGTTTTGTTTTGTAATGTACTCTATATACTCGCTAGCCCTCGTTTAATAGTTTCTTAAATATGTAATAAGCAAAAATATGAATATAATAATAGTTTTGTGTATATAATAATAATAATTATTTTACTCGTCTCATTTTTAAGTATCGATAGGATCGTGATTAATTAATTAATTAATTAATTAACAATGATTAAAAGAGTGTAAGAATTTGTTGTTCTCTTTCTTCCTCTTCTCTTTCACTCGCGTCCTTCCCTCAATCATCGTTACTTTATTTTACTTATTTTTTTTTTCATTTTTGTTTTCATTATCAACTAATAATTCTTTAAGCTTAATGGCATGAAAATGCTCGTTGGAATTGACTCGTGTGTACAGTTTTATCATAATTCATTTCTCTTCTCTCTCTCGCGCTCTCTTTCTCTCTCTCTCTCTCTCTCTCTCTTTCTCATTCGCGCTCCGCACAATTTACTTTTTAACCTCGCTACAAAAACCTCGCTCATTTTGCTTGTCTTACAACACCGGAGGATCAACACAGGATTTCTTTTATTTTTTTTTTATTTTTTTTTTCATTTTTTAATATTTTTATATATCGAAGACGAGGATCAATCGGTACTTCTATCAAATAGATTCTCCCGACAGATCTGACGGCGTAAATACTCGACTCACCATACCGGATTTGTCTGTCTGTCTGTCTATCTTTCCTTCCTTTTTTTTTTTTTTCGCGTCTCAGCGACTCGCGTCCCCATTTGGACGTTTGAGACGTTCGATTTTTTTTTTTCTTTTTTTGCGTCTAACGTTTTTTTTTTTTTCGCTTTAGTATTTTCCGCGGAAATACTTTCTTGGATCACCATTTAATTTATCACAATAAATTTTTGTCTTCTTAAATCAATCTGAACGCGGGTACCACGGCTGTGCCCCCGTGCGCATATATAATTCCGCCTCGCTCTACACCTTAATTTTAACCTCTATTTTTTTAATTTTTTTATCTTTTCATTATCTAAAGAACCTTTTTAAAAAAATCCCCTACTGGAGAGAGAAAACGGTAGGTAGTTTTGTAACAATGTAATCGACTATCTTACCCCTAAATATAATTCTACGAAGTTGATTATACTGTGACTTTAAGCACAGCCCGTGGATGAAGTGCCCCTCCGTTTAATTAGAGAAAGGGCTCTTGATTTTATTATTTTTTTTTTTACTTTTTCTCTTCAAATTCTCTCTCTCTCTCTCTCTCTCTCTAATCCGCTCGCTTCACTTTTTTTTTGTTTTTTTTTTGTTTTGTTTTTTGTTTCTCTAGCAGCCTTCTTTGTTCACACGCTCACTCGTCCATGCTCTCTTTCTCTCTCTTCCTAGATCTCAGATATACGAAGATTTCTCCGAAAATAAAGGTGCTTCTTATCTCATCGACCTGAATTGTATTGCCTCTCTCGTTCTTCCTTTTTTTTTTTTGTTTTTTTTTTGTTTTTTTTTTGTGAAAGCAACAAAGAAAATCGTATCGTGCAAGGAAGAGATCATTGCTGCCACCTAATTCAATATTATGCAGAATCAATATCTCCTGTTCACGTACAGAACAGACATTGCACCGTGTCATTCACGGCAATCAAACATTCGCATCATGCTCGATCGTAAGAAAGAAAAAAAGAAAACGAGAAAGAAACATGTACGAAGTCGCTTTAACTGAAAAAAAGATAAAGATAAGATTCGATTTCGCGTAAAGCTTGTGATACAGTGAGGAATAAATAAAGAAAAGCGTTCGAGGTACGACAGCAACAGATAAAAACTCACGCGTGGGGCTCGCTATCGATCGCTTTCTATTCTTTTCTCTCAACGATAAATACTTAAAAAGTGAAGAAGCAAGGAAAGTCGAGCGTCTTTAATTCTCGTTTATAGGCGGTGGAAATACTTGATTACATATACTCGAGACGTATGTTTTTCTCACTCCGAGATTAATATATAAAAAACGCAAGTTGAAATTCACAGGTGTGTAAATCGTACAAAAAGAAAGGGAAAGAAGGAAAAGAATTCTTCTTCAACGACGTTTTCACGAGTCTTGTCAATACTGTTCTCTTCTCGCCGTTGTCTACCGCTTACGTAATAACAAAACAAAAAAAAAGAAAAAAATGAAAAAGGGAAGAAAAAAGGAGACGAACAACAACTTTTAAGTAGACGGGCACGCGACGCGAGAAAAAAATAAACGACGAGAACGGTTTCGTTCGACAGTCGGTGCCACAAACTTCTTGCAAGGACGAGGGAAGGGAGGAAAGGGAAAAAGAATGGAGAAAAATGGAAAAAGAAACTAATCTAACACGGTGTGCCAGAGAAAATCAATGCAAATAGTACAGTCGTTTTTTTTTGCAAAAGGTTCTTCAGCAAAAAAAAAAAAAAAAAAAGAAAAAACATAGCCTCTTTTGTACTCTCAGTCGTAAAAAGTATTCGACAAATTGCGATGCCTCAAGCGGAGGGCAACGGTTGCAACTCTACGAACATGCTCCGACCGATTCGATCCTTGATACGATCTTAAATAATTGATGCATCGTTTATATGCTTGAAATGTAATGTACGCGTTGCACGCATGCGACGTCTCGCGTGCGCGTGCCAGAGAGACCATGACAGACCACCTACCTCTGGGATACCACTTAGCGTCACTCGGTCGACCGAAGAAACAGAAATGCAGCAAACGAATGGGTGAAAACCGGCAGCAGTCGTAATCGAAACTGAAGGGCGAAAGTGAATGAGAAAGTAGATACAGGATGACGGGCACGATCCTTCGGCTGAACTGTGGGTCAAAGATGCGAAAGATGGATATTGATCTTTAGATGAATAAAGAAGGCAGGTACGTGATATATTCAAATCAGGGATTTGTAGAGAGCAAAGCGTGTCCGTGTCGTGGCCGATCGTCTCTCAGAGGCTTCTCCTCCGGACAACTGTTTGCTGCTTCGTTGGAACCTTGGCGAGCCTCGACGAACGAACCTCATTCCTTCCGTTCCGTCGTGGCGTAAAACCCCGTGACGACCGTTATTTTGGATGGCTAGGCTCTATTATTTCGCTTCGGATGTGTCATCACCGTTCTGTGTGCCGTTCGATCGACAGTCGATTAAGTGACCTCTGGGCTGGCGGCTACTAGGCTGGCCCCTGGGCTAGATGAGGGCGAGCTTTGGGGGACAGCAACCGCCCGTAAAATGCCCGCTGGCGGCCTCCCGTTCCCGTTTGCGGCGGCCCTGGCGTTCTGCAGCCTGGTTCGAGAAATGCATTCATTTCATGTCAGATCGAATTTACCGAGCCAACCTACTGCGAATGTGCATACATGACACTGAATGATCAAGCACTCTGAGGAACACGTGAACTACGAAACAAACGAGCGCATCTATAACTCGGTGAAACCGCAATTAACACTTTGCCAAGCGATCATTGAAGTACTTTGTACGTACGATTCGACGAAACGTTCTCACATCGAACACAACGGGGGAGATTGTTTCGGTTTTATATATAAAGTACTTCAATTCTCTCTCTCTCTCTCTCTCCTTTCTCCTTTCTTCTTTCTTTCTTTCTTTGTCCTATTTTTTTTTTTTTTTTTTTTTTTTTTTTTNTTTCGCCTCGGGGTTGAAAGCTGCTTCCACAACTGGAACGTGTCACATATTCTTCTCCGTTTCGTATTTTTTTTTTTTTTTTTTTTTTTTTTTTGCTTTTTCCTTTCTTTCGTCGACTATTCTACAGGAGAGCAAAGTGATAATTGAAGACAACATCTTCTCGTCTCTATGAGAAGCTCCGTTTGTGATGACCGTTGCATGGACTCTGGTTACGTTCCGTTTGAAAAAACACGATTAAGACATATAAAACAGAAAACACAAAGCACCGGTTACATTCCGTAATAATAGTAACACAGAAGCTAACCAAGATATGTATATTCGTATATTCGGAAACGATATATCGTTTATTATCGGAGGGGGGGAAACAGGGTCGTGAAAACAGGGTGCACTGATCGTCCTGGTGAAAGCGAAAGAGCGAGTACCCTTTGAAAAGAGATACAGGAGCGATAAACGAGCAGTGTATTGCCACGCGACAATCGCCCTACTTGTTTTCGTTACTTACCGGTCGTGAATCGTCCCACGACAAGCTGCATTAGTACACACAGAAGAGGGAGACTTTAGAACTTTTAGATGTCTTTCGTACGATAAGCCTTTCGTGTGCTAACAAGAAGTCTACATAACTAATAATGCGTGCACATCGTTGCAACAGGAAATGCAATTATGTGCACCGGACGGATACTAACTTGATTTTCGACTGCCGCATGAACTGCTGGATCTTCCTCGCGGCCTGATGCGCTGCCTGCTGATGCACCGCTTGCTGCCTCGAGCTGGCTGAGCCTGGACGTGACCGATAATTCCTGTAGTTACTCTGTATCACCAACGCGGCCTTCGTAGCTTGTCTGCGAACGGGAGAGAAAGAACAGGCCACCGTGAAATAAGAACTTGCTGAGGAGACGGCACGCTTTTGGGAGAATGCGCGTTATATATACATTATGGACAAGAGCGAAAGAAGCGTGGGGGGGGGGGGGGGATAAAAGCTTTCAATCTCAACAGAAAAAGTCGTATTAATTTAATGCCAGGTTAATTCTGTATTCGGAACACCGCGGCGGAGGTAAGGAAACTTGCCGAAGTTTTCGAATTATTTACGATGCCAATTAAAAGTTCACCTCCTTCTCCCCGGGTCCGTATCGCCCCAGAGAGAAACGGATGGAACGAACTTTGGTGAAATTCGTCCGATTCAACTGGATCGTTAAATTAGCCCGCACAATGGTACGCCTTGTCCTCCCCTTTTATTAATTGCCGCTTATTAAAACTAACCGTCTAACCCGGCCCTCAAATAACCAGCTATTCGAACGTGCCGACGTGGCTTCGTAGCAACGAGATTTCGTATATTCGATTTAATTCCATACTCTCCCCTTTATTATCAAGGGACGAGGGAAGTTCAGATCCTTTTTTTCAGTTCGGACAAATCGAGAGGATGGAACGTGGAGGTGAATGACACGGCCGCGGCGTTAAGCTAAAAACAGATTACCTAAAATAAGCGTACTGTTTATGTCGACGATAATATTGTTGGATGAGTACAGCAGCGTGTCTCTCCGCTTCCTCTTGCCTCTGGCGTCCCTTGTAATTTCGGTAGGCTTTCTGGATCATTCGAGCGGCGTGATAAAGCTCTCTTTGCTCACGATCGGACAACGTGAGCCTGCTCAGATCCGCTTCGCTCCCGTCACCGTTCCCATTACCTCCACCAGACACGGTCCCGCAAATTCCAGAGCCGATCACGCTACCAAACTTCCGGTCTCCCCCGCTCGAATAGTACTGGCCGTTCTGACCATTATTCCCGTCGAGCTGCAACTGCAGCTGCAAGAACTCGCAGAAGTCGGCTGTCGTGGGCGGTGGAGATGGCGAGTCCGGCGTGAGGCAACTGCTCGATGGACTCGATGGACTAGCATCCGCGTCAGCGTCCGAGACCGACGCCGCACCTCCGCTGCACTCGCGATACGAGTCGAACAATTCGCCGGAATCGAGCGGCTATAAGAATTAGTGAGTTTCGTTCTGAATTGCAGGAAGAATTTTAACTTAAGAGTAAGGTCAAAAATGCGGTCGAGTGATTTCTGATATACAGTGAGTCAAGGAAAAGTATTCGTACCATCGTCCACTACGTTTCAGAATTCCTATCAATGAGAATGCCGATTAATTATTTCGAATAGATCGACGTGTCAAATCAGAAAATCAGTAACTGGAAGAACACGAATTCCTATGACTTACTGTAATTGTATCGAAACGAGCAGAGACTCCAGCGCTTACCATTTGTTCCATCAGAGCATCTTCCAGAGATGACAAGGGCGGTGCCGGGGGAGGTGGTGAGGAAGAAGACGGAGAATCACCTTCCGCTCTCTTGATCCTTTCCGGTAGCGCAGCTATAATTTGCTCAGCCAATGTCAGCACCCTCGCGTCTTCTTCCCCTATAAAAAGGAATCACCACCCTAGCCAAACTCGAAAAACGTGTTACAGGACCGCCGAAATCACATTGATCACAACATCGAGGATTTTTGTTTGCTTTTTTCGATCTGTTTGCTTTTTTTTTTTTTGTTATTTTAAAGCCGTATTTTTTTTTACGATGAACCAAATCGGACGTTAATAAAACGGTGTGACACCAAATGATTGCGGATTATTTCGTTTTTTTTTTTTTTTTTTTTTTTTTTTTTTTTGTATGTTGTGGAGATTTCTACACGACACGAATCGAACGTCTTCAAACAGGCAAATCAGATGGCGAGCGTAGACGATTTTTCTCAGCATGTTGAAAGTTCCGGTCTGCGGGTGAATCTGACATAACCCGTGGTATCTCGACAGTGTGTGTTTTCCGGATTTAGTCAGCTGTTTACAGACCACGTGTTCTCGTGTAAATTGTCTCGTAGATTCCAATATTTTACTTTTTATTATTATTTTATATATATGTATATTTTTTTTTTTGTCACGGATATCCGCTTTAAACTCGTCGGCACAGGCCCAGAGACGAGGACTGTCTATCTCTCGAAGGATTGGTCGACAGCCGACAACTGACGGCTAAGAAAGTTTTAGATGTTACACAGCAATCATCCAACACCAGCAGTTACGAAGGCCAAGCAACACCAATACTGCTTTAAGCTGCAAGAGTTCAGAGGAGTTAGAGGACAGCGAGCCTGGACCATTATCCGGTCATCTCGTACGCATAGACAGAGATACAGAAAAAAAAAAAAGAACAGAACACTGTGTGTATGTGTGTGTGTACGTGTACGTGTGTGTAATGTAATGGTTGTGAGAAACAAAGACAGAGAGAAAGAGAGATAGAGAGACAGAGAGAAAGAGAGTAAGGAGACGCAGTTTTAGCTAGGAATTACTACGGATCACAGCCCGCGCAGTACTTTGTTTATCTAGGCCGATGAATCTATCGAGTGTAGTATCAGAAACAGACAGAGTTACGAATATATATACATATATATGTATAACATACATATATATATGTATAATGTACAGTTACAGATAGACAGGCAGACAGACAGACAAATAGAGAAGGGAAAACGAGGAAGGTACGGACCTACAGTCTCCTGAGGGGTCGGAGCGCTTTCCATTCCCTGCTCGCTGAGGGCTAAAGACGAGTCATCCTCTTGCAACAATTCCATGTTGTCCAGCAGCGGCGAGCCACCTGTGTTTTTCGATAAACCCCTTAATGCTACGTTTCCTGATTAATTTTACACGCTCGCATGACTTACGACCTTGTACTCTATATCTTACGGGGGAGCAGGGGCGAAGGTTGGGGGAGAGATATATCTTATATGGCGCGGAGAAAGGGGTGGGGGGGGGGGCGCACGTTACAGGAAAAGGAACTGTGATTTACGTGTTGGACGTGAATGTATGTGCGTGTGTATATATAGATATATATATATATATATATATATATACGGAAGAGGGCAGTATAATAGCAAACGAGACTAACACAACGCCAGATCGAGACCGCTGTCTTGAGATGGCCTCCTAGGACTAGGGCTGGCGGGTCGCAAGAAAAGCCTCTCGTCTTGTCTTCTCGCTTCGAGTCGATTCAATTCTTCTGCGATCGCCGTGTGACCGTTCTCCGCCGCTAACTCGGTCGCTGTTCTGTTCTGACAATCCCTCACGCGAAGCGCCATTGCGTTCCATCTGTGCAGACAGACAGACATTCGCAACACGTTCCCAGACAAAACGGAGTACACGGAGTGTCGTGAAACGCATAAAAAATTTCAAGAAAGCGACGTACGAACCTATAGAGGATTCTGGCAGTATCCGCGTGTCCCGCTGCGCAAGCCCAAGCAAGTGGTGTAAGACCGGCGCTATCCTGCCTCAGGGCATCAACTTCGGCATCTAACACGCTACTAGGATTTTCCGCTCTCCAGTGAAGGAGCGCGCAGGCTAACCTGGAGTAGCCCAACCCGGCGGCCAAATGTAAGAGAGTAGGGCCACCGGATTGTAATGGTTCCGCTCCAGCTCGCCACGGACGGACAACAGCATCCTGAGACACAGATAATCTCCATTTAGACCAGAGAACCAAGCACGTACATGTGTACAATGGCTAACGAAAGTACTTGAACACTCGCGTTCGAATACTTTTGTCAACCACTGTCAACTGAAAGAGCGAGATTAGGCAGACTACTGACTTGACAATATGCCACTAGTCGCTCTTCCAGATGAGCCGCGGGAGATGGAGGGCCAGGTCCTTGCAGACGGGACTCCACATCCGCCAAACGATCGAGAAGAGCTCGTTCTGGACTTGGCTCGGTCGTCGGTGCCCGACGATACTCAAAAGCAACGCTATCGGAAACAACGAAGCCGTCACACGCGACCTGAAGGGACGCTATTCCCGGAGCATGAGCTGGGCAACGACACCGCAACACTCCTGGTTGTACCAAACACGCCTCAACCGGTTCAGCGTCGAACAACACCGAATAAGATTGAGAGTTACTCCCACCGGTCCACGGACCAGCGACCAATACCTGTAAAAACAATTAAATCTTCGCCTCCAAATTTCACACCTACTATACATGCACTACATTAACTTCGTTCTCAAATTTTACCAAATAGAATGGTAATACAATCGGCCTTTGCCATTAATCATCGTTATCAAATGAATCAAACTCACCTTTACACCACCCTCGGTGTAACTCCACTCCGGACTGTACTCCGCAATATGGACGGTTGTTCCAGGATGACATCCCACGTCACTGTCAGACCCGCCTCTTTCTTCGGCTTTAGCCTGCTCGGCCTCGAAATCGTGAAGCTCGGGTAGGTCACCGAACACGTCGAACGCGTCTAAATTAACTAGAACGTCGTCCGACGAATCGATGAAATCCATCGGATTGATCATGCTGTTGTCTGCCGGGGAAGGCGACGGAGACGGTGGAACCATGTTCGCGGATAACGTTCGCTGAATATCCTCTTGACTTAGGTCCAACGTCTCGGCGAAATCGGTGACCTCGGGACCTGTGCCACCGATTGGCAACGATTGCACCGCTGAGCGATCCATACTTTCTTGAGCGTCGATTTCTTGCTGGGTCTGTTGTTCCCTGTCCACACTCGTCTGCTGTACAATTTGTTGCTCTGTAACCTGTTGCATTTCCACTTGTTGACTTTGTTGTTGTTGTTGCTGCTGTTGCTGCTGCTGCTGCTGCTGTTGTTGCTGCTGCTGTTGCTGCTGCTGCTGCTGTTGTTGTTGCTGCTGCTGCTGCTGTTGTTGTTGTTGTTGTTGATGATGATACGGTTGGCTGTTTAGAATTAAAAGACCGCCACCACCCTGGATTTGTTGCAAACTTAAAACTAGAGGAGCCGGCTGTTGGCTTTGAGCCGTATGGGAATGTCTCGAGTATACGCGAGGAGCCGGTGAGGCTGCTGTTGACGATTGCTGACCTCCGGTAGTCGAAGAAACCTGATCATTAGGGCGATTATTAAATAGAGAGAGAGAGAGAGAGAGAGAGAGGGGGGAGGGACATCGAACAAGCATTCAATTCGACCGAAGAATCGTACCTGATTGTCCGGTGTTAGTCTCCTAGGTGCAAGCTGAGTGCTGGTTGTAGAAGAAGTGGAAGATGCTCTCTGTCTGTCCAACAGTTGAGAAACTATCATGTCAACGGGATGATTCGAGTGTTGTGTAAGATGAGGATTGTTAGGATCGTCATCTCCACCGAGGAACATGGGTCTAAGCTGGGAAGCCAGCTCGTCTCGCGTCCACTCCTTCTTGTCTGGCGGCAGTGCGAGACACGGTGGCAGCGCCGCGAGCTTTGCATCACCGTCCGGGTAAGGAACGTTTAAGTAGTGAACGAGGACGACGTCTGGATTCTGTAGTAGCCAATAACAACGCCGATGAAACGTCGGGAGGATCGCCGAGTGCACGTAACAGCCATAGATGCACTCGACTCCTTGGACCTATGATTTCATCCAACAGAACGAGATCTCAGTCTGCTCGGGTGAAGCGACTCTCGAGCTTCATTCCGTTCGAAATGAAAGACAACAACTACCTTCAGTTTCATGTGATCCTCTCGTGTAGTTTTACCATCTTTCCGTTTCTTCCAGCAATAACCGTCCCGCCGGTAACGGACCTTCTTTCTCGAGTACAGTAACATCGAACCACTCCGAGGTCGTACCTTTACCTCCCGACTTTGCCATTCCGCGTGCCTTTGGAAACTGATCAAGATAGCAGCAATTTCCTGATAACAAAACCAAATTTATTTCAATTTCAAGCTCAGCCTGGTAGCTCGTTTTTACTTGTGTCGTCAACTGGCACCGCATGCGCGGCACACTTTGAAACGCGCGGCTCTGCAAACTCCTCGAGATGACGAGGAGATAAGACCGACCTCGATAGAAGTGGGATATGGGAATACGAAAGAACACATAGACGCTGCTCAGCCGGTTTCGCTGACACTCGATTTTTCCCGTGGATTTCGCTTAGTTTTCGAGTCGTGCTGATACATCTTTCCATCTTCCTTTCGATCATCGTCCCTCGCGAAGGTATAATACAAACGCTGCAAAACTAGAGATTCTAGCCGCGGAAAGTTTCATGTAAATTTCGCTGGCGCTAAAAATTATTAAATATCTTCGACAGCGAAGAGTCGCTCGCCATTTCTCTACTTTGGCTCTTCTTTAGTTAAAGGATATTTTGGATACAAAAAAAGTGACTGTGCATAACGTAGTACGTTCTAAAATCACGCCTAACCATAGTTTGATTATAAACAAAGTGAACGACATGCTGCTTTAAATACCAAATCAGACACGATAAATCTTCCATTTCTGGCCCCAATAAAAAATTGTTCGACGCTTCGTGCAAAGCGTTTCCTAGCCTAGTTACGCCCGTAGATGTGAAAGGTAATGCGCGCGTTTTGCTTCCTTCATGTTTATCCACTACTAATAATAGCAAGTCGATTGTTACACCGGTTCTTTATTGATTTCCCGCACAGAGTACGACTCTTGAAACGAAACGCATTGATAATAGAGAAATAATAGAGAAAAACGAACGGAGTGGCAGCGCTGGCGAAAAAAAAAAAAGAAAAAAGAAACAGGAAAAGAAAAGAAACGTAATTACCGACGAACAGAATTTTGCATGGTTAATCGTGACACGTCGTTTTCCGCACCGTACGTGGCCTCGAGTCGACATGCGATCGTGGACGAAAAGAGACGTGTACAAGGTGGAGGAAAAAAGGGGGGGAGGGCTGTACGTTGGAAATTGGAAAGAATTCGGTCTTGTAAATGTCCGAGGTACAGGTGAGATGATTATCCACGATTTCCACCGGCCGACGATAGAATGGGAGGAAAGCAGTCTCTCCTAGGGTGGAAAAAAATCGTAGGTGAAGCGAGTGGCAAGCAGAGGGGCAGAAGGTACGGCGGCACGCGATCTCACGTGGGCTAATGCAAATCGAACGCCAAACTGCAGCTGATTCGCTCTAGCGGATAGTGGAAAGCTAGGCTGGCGATAAAATTCCCCTGGCTGGTGTTGATATAAAGTTCAGCCAGCGGCATTTCGTGTGTGTGTGTGTGTATGTGTGTGTGTGCTCGGCACTGTGTGTTCATTCGAAGAGCATTTCGCTCGCCGATCAATTCCAGTCTCGCATCGCGATGACACGTGACGACGTGTCAGAGAGATCGCCACCTCGGCGAGATTCTGCAAATGTGGAGATTCACGAGTGTGCGGCGTTCGAAATAGCGCGGATACCGCGAGATAATTGAAGCTTACAAGACCGCAATGATCGAGGAATCTCGCTCGTACACTTTGCACGGTAATAGATGGTACCTGATTCGGGTTGCTCGGTTGGCAAGCTCGAGCCACAAATCGTACATTTCGAATGAGGTATGTCAAGATCGCGCTCGTTGTGGCGCGGTTCCATCGGGGAGGTGCGAGGTCCTATTGGACACTCCGAGGGACAGAGAACCACTCGTTAACTCCGGTTGCGTCCAGTTACGTAATAAAATTAGCGCAGAACCGTCGCGTCGCCCTCGGAAAATGCATAATAGCAGGGGGGAAAAAGGAAGATAAACGCAATAATTACCGGAGGAGCCTCCGTCTCGCTGGAAAAGAGGTAATTGCTGAGGGGAAAAGAAAGAAAAAAAGAGAGGGAGAGAGAGAGAGAGAGAGGAGCGAAGTACGGTTCAGAGTGCTTAATATCTTTGCACCGTTCCCGTGGGTGGGCCTTCGACTTTCCAAAGGTTCTCCAGCGAACGTGGCCTGGATATAAATATTCTTAACGAGGGATGGATGAGAATGAGCGGGACGGGTAACTGGAGTGGCTGGAGAGAGGGGAAAACGGAATAAGAGCCCGGCGTTGAGGCCGACAGCTCAGCCATTAGGCTGAGCCAGCCAAACGCAGACAGCGAAGCTAGATAAAGCTTGCCCACTATGTTGCATTGATTTACAACTGGTTAATTGATCATTTGCATTCTGTCGGTGGACACGCTGCGCATGGTCGTCCGTACAGAAACTAGAACTTGCAACTTGACGATTTTCGCCGATACGTTTTACCACTCCCTTTAGCTATAATTGCGAGCCCACTGATCAATGGTAGAAAAGGTCAAGAGAGAGAGAGAGAGAGAGAAGGAGAGAGGCCAGAATAGATGCATCGTATGATCGACGCTCGTTTTTCATTCGAAATGGAATCGCAATCGCTTTCTATTTCGCGATAACGAACGGTTACGTAACGAACGTCAGGAATTATTATATTCATCCGACGTATTAATAACCCCGGCGGGTATCTTATTTTATCAGGCCGGTATCACGTACGAAATCTTCTTCACGCGAGGCACCCACGTAAATTGATTTTCTATGCGTTGCCATATTTTGCAACGTGCCAGACGTGAAATGGGTCAGGCAACGTGGAGAATAGTTTAACTTGAAAGACGGCGTCTGACAGTGCATATCGTTACGTTGCGTGCAAGGTCGGCTTCCATGCAAACGCCAGTCAGACTCGCAAAAATCTCACCGTGATTACCACCTTCGTAATTGCGTAGCTGATATTCAAGTTCGCGTATAATTCGTGCTCCTTGTTTTTAATTCTTTTAATTTTTCTCTCGTTTCTTCTTTTCTTTTTTCCTACTTTTTCAGCGTCGGCACACGTGTCGTTCCTAGTAGGTCACACGTAAATTTTCTTTCACGTAACGAATCCAAGAAGACGACAAATCCGAAGAAGGTCAGTCGACGTACTCCTTGTACGGAGACCGTATAGATGTCTCGAGATACGGTGAAAGAGGCCCATAGATTCCTGTATTCGGTTCAGCGGATACGTAAACGAGACGCCTTCTGTCCCGCGTGTTACCGGAAAGGATGTGTTCTCCTTGATTTACGAATGCGAAAGGACCGATAAATCGACCCTCCTTCCGACATACGAAACGAAGATGCCACGTCCTTCCAGTGCTTTCCACTCGCGGGCACGTATGTAAAGGACTTCATCGAAAACTGATAATCGATCGCGGAAAGGATGAACTTTGTATTTCGTGCGCCGAACGAGTAGTTCGTGACGTTCGCCGACGGGCAGTGGAATCACCCTGATTGGGACAAAGATAATTAATAATTGATCTTTTTTTCACGAGCACGCGTATAAATGTTTCAGAGCTTTTCTTCTGCATCGAAAAGATTTTATGACGACCTTACAATAAAATAAACATCGTCGGAGAATTCTCGTCCAGTGAGTTTGACGTTTCTGTCAGTAGCATAAGTCGGTATTTGCTCAGACGAGAAGAAGCGACAAGAGCACGCGACGTAAGACCATCAACGTCAAGCCGAAAACTCTCGTCAACAATATCAAAATATACTCGAGAGTTTCCTAAAGGGATGGAGACGCTTTTAATGATCGATGACGTCGAACTAACCGAGTTGGTTTACTTTCTCTGCAGCCTCAACTCGTTGAGATCTTCTTACAATCGGAGGAATTATAAAACAAATTTTTCAAATTAATTGGCAAGTTTTCGGAAAAAACAGACTTTAGTTACTTTTTCTCTACGAAATGACAGATTATAAAATGCCTGAACAATTTCAAATTGTCAGAAAATGAAGGATGGAAATACACTATTAAATTCAGAAGGAACGTCAGTCGGAAAGCTAAAGCGCACTCTTTGAAATTGCGTTTCCACCGAAATCACGGAATCATTTGATTCAAAATGCAGTTCCAACGATGATCTGAATCGTAATCGCCTCTGACGAGCTGCATATTGATGAAACTGCGCGCCGATTGTTACGAACAATCAGCCAACTTTCTGAATTCTTTATACCGCTTCGAACGAGCGGGAATAAATATTTCGACTTAAAATCGGAAAGCGACGATCGAGAAATCTAGCGATAATTAATCCCCCCCGATAACCTAGCAGCACGAAAATGCTGGAAAATCAGCAGAGTTTTAAACGAACGTACTCGGAGGTAAGCAAATGTTGACTTCGCAATAATAATAGTCGTTATTTGCCGAAATCAATTTCGGTGTTACGTCCAAATACAATTTACTGAAAAACGGTCGAATCGGAAATTGCATTACTGACAGTGCAAACTAACGTTTAATTGCGTCGACTGTCATTGTGTACCCAGGTAAACTGTAGCTATTCAATGCATTTATACAATCGCTGCAATCGGAAATCAATAAGCAAACAGAAACATTGTTTTCAGATCGATTTCCACTTACAGATAGACCGTGCGGCTTCGTATGCTCATTAATCAAAACGAAATGTTATCGCAGAAAACTGACGAAGGGCCGGACAACGCGAACCGAAAAATCCCACTGTGTGATTTGGAATTTCGTGAGAAAGAGCTTTCGTTTGGAAAAGGCAATCGTCACGTAACTTGCATGACGCACGAAAACGCAACAATATTTTATGCAGGCTGCGGATGTTCGTGTAAATTTGTACTTTTACAAATGTTCCCACGTATTGTTGCAGTTTGGTTCTATGTGTCGTACGAAATCTTTTGAAACTTGATCATTGCAATGATCGTGATTACGTTGGTTAAATTCCTGTGAGAATGTATTGAAAAAAATTTCGAGTAAATGTGCATATTTTATAACATTTCAAAGACTGTCGCAAAAAGTTTTTCACGCGTGAAAATGCACAAACGTGTTAATGTATTTGTTAAGAAGATAATTCTCTGACGAATAAACCAGCTCATTTCCGAAAAATGCAAATATTTCACAACTTTTACATATATTTTCAACCTCGTTCCAAATTTTGTTTAATACAATCACGGCAGTCTCGTCTCTTAACAGTATTAACAAAATTTTTAAATGTTTCATGCGACACGCGTAAAATATATTCGTAAAAAGTTCAGCTATTTTCGTAGGTACACATGTGTACCTACAAAATTAAACAAAAATTAAACGTTTCAGCATATTCTAAGCAACATCTCGTACGATATTATAAATCAAGTAAGTGGGACGATCAGTGACAATGTACCTTACAAATAAACGTAGAAGAAATCTACATACTATTCCGTGTTCCAGATTTCAAACACTCATTTGCCATTATGTTCGGTTACCGGTTAATAAATCAACGTCATTAGGGCTCATTACCGAAGCTAAAAGTGCAAAACAAAACGGGCACGTGCTTTGTCCGCGTGTTGTATGGGTATATGTGTAAAAAATTATTACTATAATTCCCGTGGCGGTATACGCTCTCGGTTACAAATGGGATTTCATCAGGCAACGATGGTAAAGGGCGGAAAGAGAGCACGACAGAGAAATCTTGCGAAGTTATCAGACATCGATTTGGATGCGAATGAGAAAACGGGAATACGAAAAGCCCGGCGGCGGGGCTGGTTCTCGGGAGGGTGAAAAATCGATAAAGCAACCTGAGGCTACATACGTCTCTCGTTCCCTCTTCCTTTTTTTTTTTCTTTCTTTCTTTCTTTCCTCTTCCACCCGCCTATTCTGGCCAATAAATTCTAGTTCCGTATAATCGGGGGGGCTATTAAAAAAGTTAATAGGAAAAGTTTCCGCGAAAGAATTCTCTAGCAAACGAAAATTGATTCGCGTTCGGTGGTGAAACAGAACAGATCGAGCCCCTACGGACTTTTGTGCTCGTTCGAAGTTCTAGACTTGATTGCGACCTGTCTCCAGTAACAACTTAGAATTTGGCAACGAGTCAATAAAAATCCAAGCCACGGCGAAACCCCCACTCCCTAACCTCTCCTATCCGCTCCTTCCCTCCCCCCCCCCCCTTGTTCTGAACAATGGACTCTTTGCTACGTCAATCGAATAAACTCGAATTTCCATTTCCAACTAGTTGACCCGTCGGTTAGTTAAACTTCCAGCGGAGTTACCCCGGAGTCGTGCAATCAGAAGTAGACGCGAAGTTTACCGCCGCTCCATTTATCTCGTTCCGGCATACATTATTCGTGAAACACGGTTCTCGCTCAACCGTGAAAGATGAGAGACAGAGAGAGAAAGAGAGAGAGAGAGAGAGGGTGGGGATGCAAAGTCCGATGATGACGTGCTCACATATGCCGTCAGAGAGGCTGTCGGGAGAGAAATAGCGTTGAAGAGCAACGAGGGACACACAACAACAAACGCGTCAGCGAGGGTGAAAACGGGTGCGAAGAAAACGGGCGAGAAAACAAGATCACGGCGAGCGCCGGTCTGGCAAAGGATTTCAACTGCATATACGATGGTTGGAAACTTCCTCGCGCTGCAAAAAGTTGGCCCGTTAACTTCCTAAGAACTTCATCCTATGAATAGTTTCGCGAGCATGAATCCCTGATGCGCCCTGGCTTTCATCCGTTCCGCGGTTCCTCCGTGGTAAGTGAAAAAAAAAAAAAAGAAGAAAGAAAGAGAACGGAACAGAGAAGAAAGGAAGGGAAATAAATCGACGTAATATTAATAGCGATACTTTGTGCCCGCCTCGAGTATCCCGAGTGGCCCGATAATAGGGCCCGGAGCTCATTCATATTTATGATACCAATAATTCCACGTCGAAGCTACGTCAACGTGAAAACTTCGACGATAGGTAATGTAAAAAGATGATGCAGCGCTTGAGTTCCAGGTTGACCTCATTAGCCATGCATATTACACGACGATAGATAAGCGAAACAAGAGGCAACTTCCAACTCTTCGAGGCCCCTCGATCGGTTAAAGGCGAAAACGAAAACACAAGTCGAACGACAGGGTCTGCTTCTCCTAATTCTCGAGATCAAAGACTGAATTCAACGTTCAAATAGTTGTATGATATCGCCGAGTCATAGGTTAGTAGTTAATGTTAAATTAAAAAATCCTGAAACTAAGGAAATCGTTACGGTTTCCAATAGCTCGATGGTAACAGCTAAGACTTAATTTGTAAAATCGTCTTCCTTTTTATCATTCTATTCAAAGGGTGACACACACACACACTCCCTCCCTCTCTCTCTCTCTCTCTTACACAATCAGAAGAGAGGAGGATAGAAAGGTCAGAAGCAAGAACAGAAAGGAAAAAAAGAAAGACAAAGACAGAAAGAGACGAAAAAGAGAGTTATCGTGGACGAAGGATAGCAATGGGGCAAACATAGGCTGGCAATTCGGTTCTACTCGACAGAACTGAAAACTCGACTCGGCTCGGCTGAGCTCTCTAGCCTGGCTCCAGCTATTGATCGGAGGCCGACCGGGGTCAGAGTAGCAGTGGACTACATCGGTACACCTACGAGTGCACGGTGCTCCACGTGTTGGTATGTGCACTCCTGCACACAGCGACGTAAGCTTGCACACGGACGGACAGCATCTATCCTCTCTAACCACCGACGCTACGTACGAGCCACCAACGGCGTTGCGACGTCGCTATTTACTTTCCAGTTGTGCCTACTGAAATGCCGTGTAAATGTATATCCAGTTGGTGCTGCTAGGAAACTGTATGCTCTTTTGTTGGAATTCGACCGAGACATTTGCTTTCTTTTTCCCTTTTTTCTTTTTTTTTTTGTTTTTTGTTTTTTCAACCCGCTTTTCTTTCTCGCTCGCGAACCTCGCATACCTCGTTGAATTTTCCTCTCGCCCAATTTTTTTTTTTTTTTTTTCCCCCTCTTAATGGAGAATGGGAAAAAGTTCGTTGGGCATCGAGCGGTTTTATAGAATTTAAAGTCTAAAAAATAATCGGTTCGCAACTCACCTCGTTGGTGTTCCATCGGTGCCTCTGAGTTGGAAAATGTTCAGCTCGTGGCAAGGTCTCCAAATTCTCCGGTAGCTTTATCGGATCTCCATCTGAAACAGAGCGAGAGAGAGAGAGAGAGAGTATAGATGAAAAAAAACGTTCTCGATAGCCTCGAGAGCTTTTTCTTTTTTTTTAAAGGGGAGAAATGATTGCTGAAAATACGTGGAAATCCAGCGTTCTAATTGTTCTCGATAACACAGACTTTTGATTAACTTTATCACTGCGAGCGTTACGCTAATCTGATTACTCACGGTGTCACGCGAGTTACCGTAACTCGTGCTTACATATTTATTTCGACGAAAGCTTAGACGTTTGCATAACACATCATTAGCCACTGCGATTGTATGCAACGGATCGAAGCTGCTATCGATCGTAACGTAGCTCCGTGTGCGAGAATAAGAAAACAATAACTCTAAAAGTAATGCATTTTTCACGTGCATGACGTTACCTTTAGCCGGGAATTTAAAACGCGTTATTTATTACAAAAAGGGAAAAGGGGGCGAAATATATGGAGCGTCGAGGAAAGTCTGCCCTCTTTTCTAATTTTCTGAGTGATGTAACAAACACGCTATCGATTGGATAACACGTCGATAAAAAAAAAAAGAAAATACGCACAGTGATATCACTCATGGAGAACTCGATGCATTCTCGTTTAAGGCAAAGTGCTCGATTGTACAAGTTATCCTAATAAATTACGCGCATTGACGTTTCAAGGCATTAAGGAAACGGCTGTTCGTTGAATGAAATATTTCGGTTTACCACCCCGAAGGCTTGGCTACGACGTTATTGATATCACCGACGGAGTGCAGCTGCACTTTCTCGAATTCTCGCTCTCTGCTAATTTCTCGCCGATACCTTCTGCGTGTCACGCGTGTTTTTCCAACGTTATTATTTCCCTCTTGCGCGCAAATTTCAAAAATTGTACGACATTTTATAGCGAAAGCAGAAGCAATAAGGAGAAACCAAGTGTCTAGGATTACGTCTAAGAGATAAAGAAAACGAAAGTATAACAATTAGTAATTCAATCGCAGCGTTCAATCAAGCCGTTAGTTCCTGGACCGTCGAGTCGGAATGTGTACACCGCGTATAGAATAAACTCCTCTAATCCTGGTGTGTGCGATATGAAAAAGTTAAGGACTCACTTGGTGCGAGAGGCGTCGGGTAGGTCGCGTGATAGACGATACGCTGTGGATTCGAATGATTGTAGCCCGCCATTTCCGTGGCGCTCGTCAGAGCGACCGCTTCTTGGATCTTACCGATCGTGGCCGATCGTCATCGTCCTTGAACGTACGCGTACCGCGATCGTTTCTGTGTTCTCGCAGACATCCCCAGGCTCCTCGTGAATTTGGACGATTGTGCGGCAGCTGATACGGCTGATACTCGACAATGGTCGGTATTCGCGATTCTAGACCGTGACAAGCTACGACGGCACTCTTTTTGTCAGGAGAGCTTGCTGCCGGGTTCTAGGATGGAAACACGACTCGCTTGACGTTGTCCTCTGCGTGAGGCTCGTGCACGAGGGTGGTGATTCCCCTTAGAACGGCAGGACATATCCCCGAAAGAATCGTGTACGCGAGCCAGGTTGTCCGTTTCAAATGATCCCTATCCTCGTTAACGAAAGTCTCTTGCTCGTTTTCTCTCTCGGCTCGCTGCCCGAAACCAAATCAACAGTCACACAGTGAGAAAATTGATTATTCACTGAGTCGGATACGACGACGAGGAGCTGCTCGACTTTTGCTCAGACGGTGACACGATACTCTGTACTTGTAATGGACAACACACGTGGGAGGCGTGGTGGCGTGGACGCGTGGAAACGACGACACCGCGATAAAGATCGAAATCTCCGCTTTCCTTCTGTCAGATAGAACTTTCTTCCTCTTTCTGCCTCTCCTTCTCTCTGTTCGTTTTAAATACTTTTTCGTATTAGTATAAAAAACTGGAGCCCCATTATTATATTCTATTATTCGTGAACTTTTTCCTTCCTTTCTTCCTTCCTTCCTATCTCCTAGTGTTCTCTGTACCTCTCTTCGACCTTGTTCCTTTCTTCCTTCTAGCAATCCTTTGCCTCGATCCTTTCCCGAATCTCCCTCTCTCACTCTCTCACACACACGCACACACACACACACACTCTCTCTCTCTCTCTCTTTCTCTCTCTTTCTCTCCCTCTCTCTCTCTCTCTCTCTCTCTCTCTCTTTTTCAACGCGAACACACACACACACACCTCTCGTTCTCGTTCTTTCTCTAACTCTCCACCCCCTTTGTAATCTGTTTTCTGTTGTACCCTCTTTTTTTCTGTTGTGCGTTCCAGGAGCTCTTATTCTTCTTATATCCTAAGTTACAACACTGAACCTGTCCCTATCGGAGGGACAAAATAATGTAAGGGTCACACAGTACAGAGAAAACTTAAAAAGAGATTCGCCCGCAGCTGACGCGTTGTACGATCGCCTTTACCGCGTTCCAATCCTTTTACTTCCTCCTCCTTCGTTTCTCTTCCTTTGTTCCCCTTTCTTCCTTCCTTACTTCCTTCCGATCTTTCCTTTTTTCCTCTCTTTCTCACACGCGCGCCTTTCTCTCTCTTTCTCTCTTCACCGACACCACCGACGGGTAGAACTTCCTTTTCCTCTCTCCCTTCTTCTACTCCCTTATGCTTATCCTCGCTTACGCTCTCCTCCTTTCTTTTTCCGATGCGTTATAGGCTTCGTAACGACTTCGCTTGGGGGCTGGAAATAGTTACTTTGTCGCTTGCGTTCCGTGTGTCGCTTTGTTTGTTCGTTTCTTTTTTTTTTTTTTTCTTTTCTTTTATACAGAGGTCTAAGAAGTTTCTTTTTTTTTCTTTTTCTTTTTGTTAGAGTAGGTAAAGAGACTTTTAGGAGACGTATGTGTATTTCGTGTTATTTAGTGTTATTTACAAATATGTATGTTTTTGTTTTGTTAATAAAATAGGTTCAAATTAGTCTTTGGCCCCGCGTGTCTGCTCCCGAGCGGCGGGAGCCGCAGAGTGAGCCAACCCGCGATTCTCGACCTCCGTCCATCGCCCCTCTTCTCGTCCTACCACCAACTGTCCCCTACCCCTTTTCCTATTCCGCCATTTCATAGCCCCCATCCCCCACCATCGGGACCAGTCCGACTATCCAGCCCCAGCCACAGCCCCAGTCTAACCGAATCCCTTTTCCTTCCACCCTCTGCCGCCTCTCTTCGCCCTCCTAGCCACTGCTGCACCTTCAATATCCAACCCCCACCGACGCTTTGCTCGCATTGCCACTACCCCTTACTTCGACCCCACCATAACCAGCCAACCCCCCAGAGCCAGCCACTCTCCTCTACGTGTCTCTGGCTCGGCAAGGTGTGGTGGTGCACACCGAGCCAATTCCGCGGAGAACTCGCCGATGCTACCCTCTGGAAAACTCCGGCGAAGTTGTAAATTAAGGATTACCGAGAATGCAAATTAATGCCTAAGCGTACATTTCTCTACCTACTGCTCTGTGCCGGTTCTCGACGCAGGATCATCCTGCACACGCTAGAAACAAACGGCAGAGTTGTTGCTCCGGGTGTCGAGCCACGATAATCGATTGTTATCCGACCTGCTGCGGCATTTAGAAGTGTCGCGCCGGGTAATTCCCGCACGGGCGTTTAACGAATCCCAAATTTTCCAGTTCGCGCTTCTACCAGACGGTGATTTTCTTTTTTCTTTCTTTCTTTCTTTCTTTTTTTTTTTTTTTTTTTTTTTTTTTTCCC